TAGGTTCCCCGTAAAAGGACTCAGCACAGAGGAATACCTTAATGATGTCAATGTGCAAATAAAAATTAAAATCAGATGCTAGCTGCCCTAAGAAGCACTGGTATTTTTATCCCGTTTCACGTTAAAGGAAAACCGCTGCTAATTCCTCTACGACTTGCAGGAGAATGTGAAAAAACGTTGACAGTCCCACTGCAGATGATGTAATCTAACTGGAGCACTGCTCCAGTTTTCTTTCTCTGCTGTAAAACCAGCACAGTAATATCCAAGATTCTCAGATTCACTGAGGGGTCTTCCAACTGTACGCGGCTTCTGTGGCCACAATAAGCAACCAAGTATGCCTTCAGGACAGTCGTGCTATAAGGATGCCTTAGATACAGCCTGCTTTGCCAAATCCAGCTGCTAGCCTTTTCAACTTAAACGTTCCTCTCATGAAGGAACCAACAGCTGGCTACTCATTCAGTTTAACCACTAGCTGTCCAACAGCTAGCGAGCGATGACAGAACTTCATGCTTACAAATGGGAATACATACACACAAGAGAAACCTCACTTTTTCCTCATCTTTAACCCAAATCATGTCAAATTTGGTGACCTATAATCAGAATGGCACGGCACAGCTTCTTTCGTTATTAACAGTAATTCATATAAATACTACTATAATATAATGACAGGATTATGTATTCTCTGACCATGTACAATACCATCCCATGTCATTCAATTTCATTTGGCATGAAAAATACCTTAGCATATTTTAACAAACACAAAAATTTTGTTGTATTGACTTTTTCTTATGACAAAAGCAAAGCAGCCGTGCGTGGGGGTTCACACCTGTAATCCCAACACCTGGGAGACTTAGGCAGGAGGATCACAAGCCAAGGCCATAGCGGTACATAGTGAGTTCCAAGCCAGCCTGAAGTATGTACATCACAAGACACTGTTTCAAAAAAGAAAAAAGCAACTTATGTAGTTTTTAAATCTCTGATTTAGAGGTACTAATTTACATGTGGCATATAGAGACTAATCTACTTGTTCAATTTAACCAAATTCAGAATTCAAATAGCTATTGATATGGTATTTTATCTTTTAAGGAAATGTCAGTGTGGACTTGAAAGAAACATTAAAACTCTTACTTGGTGTATTGCTATTCCTTCACTCCATCCATTTCCCATCCATATGTTGAGTTTGAGCTTCACCTGTGCTTCATAACCTTAACTACATGATACAATCACTTCGGAAGCTTAATAAGTACTGATGTCTGGACCCTACTCCAGTCCTACCAGATCTAAATTCCTTAGGGGAGACCTGGACATTTTTTAATGGCCCAGTGATTCCAATATTAAAACAAGACTGAAAACCACTAGACCAAACCAAAGTACACAAAAAACAAAACCTAATCATAAATCTTGTTCTTTAAAAGCTTATACTCTTAGGCACTAGGTATACAAAGATGAATAAAATGTACCTCTCGAGGCAAACATTTTGATGTATCTTACTACAATATGACAAACACATGCTGAAGGCACTATGACAGCACAGAAAAGCTATATCCAATTTAACAAAGGGGGGAAGGCTAGGGACAGGGTAGGGAAAACCTTGGGGGCAGAGAGGTAACAAATGGATAAATAGGAACTACGTAGAAAAAAGGAGGGTAGGAAGAAGATCTAGGTACTGAGTCCAGCATCTAAAAATAAAATGCTGCGATGTGATTCAGAGGTAGAAGGTTCACGTAGCATGCACAAAGCTATGGGTTTGGTGCTCAGCAAAAAAAAAAAAAAAAAAGAGAGAAAAAAGGAAAAAAAAAATCTAGGAAACAACAACCAAAATCACTTGTTTGATGCTAGCAGTAAAGTACGAGGCATAAAAAGAACAGTAAACAGGAAACTGGCAGAGAAAGAACACGGAAGTCCTTGCACAACCACAGTAAGGACCTTGACCTTTACCCTGCAGGTGATGAACAGAGCAAGAACACGGGCAGCCCGGCCTGGGGACAGAGGGCCAGAAGCCACGAGGAAGTGCTCTTCAACAGTGAACATGTGCATGCACCATGCGCCCAGCGGCCTGCTGAGCACCCCCTGCTGTCTCCGTTCCTCTTCCCACCAACACAAGGCTGTGGCAGACACCATTATCTTTATTTTGAGATACATACTTTACTTTTTGAGATGCTTTTTGAGTAACTTGTTCACGTAACAATTCTGACCCCTGAAGCCAAGCTTTTAACCTCTGCCGCAGATGGTCCGAAACGAGCGTGGTGAGAAGTAACGGCCAAAGGCCGACACGCTGCCTGGGGAACTGTCATGGGCCCCGTCCCACATGCAGCACAGTTCAGGCAGTGACAGCTCAGCTGGAGAAGAAAGGACAGATTCCGCAAATATTTACAAGTTTTAAAAATTATCAAAACCACATGATTCAGCCAGGCATGGTGAGAAACACCTGTAATCTCAGCTACCATGGAGGGTGAGACAGGAGGGTCACAGGTTTGAGGTCAGCGTGGGCAACTTAACAAGATGCTATAACTTGAAGAACTAAAAGACAATAGGGATGCGGTTCAGTGTGAGACTGTGGGTGCATTCCCCAGGACTGGGAAAAAAATCAAAATGGCTCAGCTTTTTAAGACTGTGCAATTCTAGTACATGCAACAATATGGATGAACATGAACACATTATACTAAGTGAAATAAGGCAACCACAAAAAGACAAATACTTATAATTCTATTTATAAGGTATTCGGAATGGCCAAATGCATACAGACAGAAAACAGAACAAAAGTTACAGAAAGGTGAATCAAAAGTTGTCAGGAATACAATTTTTTTCAGGAATGCATTTTATGAGGCAGTATGAAGGTTAAATAAACCTACACTGATCCTTAGGGTAGTAAGAAGTCTACAACACAGGAAAAGTAAGCAAGTATAGACAATTATAACTTCCTTTGAGCTACTTACAAAAAAGAAAGACTATTTATACATGTTTTCAAAATTAGATCAGCATAAACTTCCATACTGCTAATGAATTAAAAGTATCCTATAACGCATAAGAAGACATTTTACAAGGTAAATACAATACTCTTACATGCTTGGGTTTTGGTTTCAATAGAGACCTATTTTAAAAGTAACAGGCAAGTTATATAAAAAGTTACCCAGTATATAAAAACCAGAAAGCATAAAACTACTGATCTGAAGCTTGCTACGATGCCAGAAGCTACGTCCTCTACATACATCATCTCTGGTAATTTTAAAAAGTATGAGGTTGGCATTACACCCAGTTTTCAAACTGTAACTGAACTGTAGAAGGTAACATTACATTGTCTGTAAATGGCGAATCTGGAATTTAAACATATTGTGGCTTCAAAGCAACCACTCCCCCTTAAAAAAATCCTTGATTAATATCCCTCAAATATGTTCTTATACCAGAAAAAGGCATGATGACAGCTAATATATAACAATTGAGTAAGTCCTTGACTCATCACACCGAAAATCTACGAAGTTCATACAGAAGCCAGGAAACAAATGGCTCCAATACTCAGTGATGAAACACACACATTTTAGATTTACAGCTGTTTTCACTTCAAAACAAAACATTTTGTAGTTATTACTTAAGCTGATATTTATGCCTAAATTTTACACGTTATGTAGCAAATATCAGGAAAATACTCAAAAGAACACATTTTGATCTTAATACTTTTACCACAAAACTAAAAACAAACTTGCAACAAGACCTTGACAAGTTTCATCACACATCTGAAATAGTCTAAAGTAGGTCAAGTAGTCTCTAATAGTTATTAGTATTTGAAACTCTCAGAACAGATTCTAATAGACTTTGCTTATGGGCTTTCTTGGCCCTGTATGTATTTCTCCTACCTAGGAAACTTTAAATTTCCTGAAAATACAATATTAAGATGGCATTTAACAATTTACTGCTATAGACTTGCACAGCAGTTTTAAAGGATGACAAATCCGTTAGCAAGAGCATAAACTTTGTCACATAATACGGTATCATATAAGTGGAATTATCCATAAGACATAATTCATGTCTGTAAAAAGATAATGCAGTTCTTTCGTAGTATCGGACACTGAACCCAGGGCCTTCTCACTGAGCTACATTTCCAGCCTTTTTTTACTTTTCGTCTTGAGACAGGGTCTTGCTAAGGCACTGTGCTGCGCAGGCTGGGCTCAAACTTGCAATCCTCCTGCATCAGCTTCCCAGAGTCCTGGGGTTATAGGTATGGCCACCGCACAGTTGATAGTTGTTTCTAATTTTTGTGATCCAAAATTTTCTATGAATATTTCTTCCATCACAATGAATTCTTTCAAAATTAATAATGCAGATCTACTTTTACTACGAAAAGTTAAGAAGCAGCTTTTTTTGTAGTGGTTTGCATGCCAGAAGAAATTAAGTAAAACTAACATTTTAGAAACAAAATTACTAGCCAGATAATTCCTCATGGAGAGAAAATTTTCATATGTGAGTTCAAGAAAATTAGGTAAAACAAGAAAAAATGCGTTTGAGGTCTTTTGCATCTTAAGCATAAATGAATACTCTCAAAGTAGTCATTACATTTCCAGGATGTATTTCTGAACCTTAAATTTTATCTGTAGACAAAATAAAAACAAAAAATAATTTAACAAGTCTTGGGATGAGGATATGACTTAATGGTAGAACACTGTCTAGCAAGTGTAAGCCCGAGGTTCAAGCCCCAGCAACACAAAAAACAAGCACAATGATTCTCACAGTGTAAACAAGGGATAAAATAGATTACTGTAAAACAAATGCATTTTCTTTGAAGAATTATTCTGACTCATCATTTGAAATTAAAAGTTTAGAAATGCTAAGTATGACTACTCTAAGACCTGATGGTTATATTTAAAACAATAAAGAAATACTTTCTACAGGAAAAAACAAAAGATATAATTATGACTAATCTGATAGCTTAGAAAAGAAACTCAGGAAGTCTAACCATTGGCCACTGTCTGGTCCCTAAAATCAAGAAGCTGAACACAGAACTATACCTCCTCGGATATGGGCAGGCTGCTGGGCTCTACCACTTCTCCTGGCTGATTTATGGAAGCGCCGCCACACACACAGTTCTTCAGAAGCGGGAGCTGTGCACCACTGACTTGCTGGTGAAGAGGCCCCTGAGAGCCCGCAGAGAGACCCCCACCGAGCAGCTTCTGAGTCACGCGCGCAGGAACACTGAGCACTGGCTCCGCACCAGAGGCTACGGGAGAGGCCTGAGAAGGAAACACAGCGCCTGACCCACGGGCACACTGCGAGTTTTCGTGCCGGCTCAGCAAAGTCTCTGACAGCATCCCATGCTCTGTTCCTGGAGGCACAAATATAGCACCGGTGGCATTTTCTAAGCGTCTCCTATCTACTGGCCCAGAGTGTAGAACCGCGGGTTGCTGTAGCACAGCGCCCATTCTTTGTGACTTCTCGGTAGTTGCTGGCAGAGAACATGGGTTTAACTGCGCAACACGGCCCTGTATTACGGAAGGCTGCCCAAGCTGCGGGAATACTTGAACTGGGTGCTGAAGAACGCTTGGTCTTCCAGAAGTCTGTGTCACCATAATCGGTACATTAACTTTATAAAGGTGACCTAATAAAGGAAGAAAACAAAACTAAGTACAATGAATTCTAACTTCCTTAACAGGCTGGGCAAAATACATCAATAAGTTAATAGCGATTATCTCTAGGAACTTCCCTTCTAATCTTTAGACTGTTTTGTATTTTCTACACTAAATATGTATGTCTTATTTTTAAATTATATTTGCTTTGCTTTACCTCTAGCCTTTCCCCACTACTGTTTACACGATACATTCTGAGATACATGCAGATCCCCAAGATTTAATCCACTACCTTCGCCTATCATTTGATAAATTAAGACTATCAAGTCACGATGAAATTTTAACAATCATTTAAAAATGTATGTCATAAATTTAAGATGCCATTACAAGAAATGGCTATCAAAAAAAGAATTTAACAATTACAACAATTATTAAATTTTTCCCTCTTTGTCTTTAAAATAATACTAATAGGAAAAAGAAACATTGGAGCCCTAGGTTGAGTTTTCCTTCAACTTTGTAACAGCCACAGAATAGTTCTAATATTCTGTCAAATTAAGAGACCGTACTGAAACGTAGAGGCTGATTAACCTCGAAACTTCTGGATGTCCTTTCCACCAGGCCACGCAATCTCTAATATGAAAGGAGATTATGCCTGATAGACCTAATCTTTACTTTTCCTTAATGAGAGCTACCAGGAAAGTAGATACATTCTTTTATTTTGTATTTGCTGAAATTTAGATAACTGACTTAAACTAGAAAAAATATATACCAAATATCTTATACAACCTTGGGAAAAAGATTTGGGAACAAATCACAGGACAGGCCTACAACAGTGTCTCTTGTAGCAAACTGCTTCCATAGCAGTAATAGCCACAATTTATTCTGTTTTTTCAGTACCACTAATGGAACCCAAGACCTTCACCCTGAACTACATCCCCATTTTTTTTTTTTTTTGAAGATGGAGTCTCACTAAATTGCCCACGCTAGGCTCAAACTTGCAGTCTTCCTGCCTCAGCCTCCCAGAGTACTGAGATTACAGGCATGTGCCACCATGGGTGGTTGATTATTACTCTTAAAACAGGCTTTATTAAAGCTTCCTACAATTTCTAGTGTACAGTCATTAATCATGAAACTTAATGTCCATAAGTTAACACCAATGCTAAAAACAAACATTCGTAGCATATTCTCTCACCAGATGCAGTCTGTAATGTCACACCTGCTGGTACATAAATAGGATACCCAGGAAAAGTAAAGCTTGCACCGGAGTTTGAGGTGCCCTAGATATAAGAAATTTATATTAGAAAGTTAGAAGACTTTGCTTGATCTTTTTCTATGATATTATAAGAGATCAAAAAATCTAACTCCAGGGGCTGGGGATTTAGTTCAGCGGCAAAAGCGCCTGCCTGGCAAGCGCAAGGTCGTGAGTTCGGTTCCCGGTACCAGAGAAAAACCAAAAAAACAAAAACAAACAAAAAAAAAAAAATCTAACTCCAGATAATAAGACTGTAACAGTTTGATGACACTTCACATTTAATATTAGAGCTGAATTCTTTGCATAAAAGTTTTAATATTTGATTTAGATCATTCCACCAAGAATAAAGAGGAATTCTGTTATGTAGTCACTAGAATGAAGCCATAAATCTTATTGAATAGAAGGAACACTGGCCCATAAAACCTTCCCAATATACAGCGCTACCTAGGTAGCTATTCTCAAGGTGTCAGTACAAGCACCACAGAGGCAGGTGTGGTGCACACACACGTAAGCCCAGGTATACTGAAAGGCTGGGAGGTTGAAGCAGCACGATCACAAGTTTAAGCCCAGCCTGGGAACTTGGCAATTCAGTAAAATCCTGAAAAGGACGGACTAGGGATGTAGCTCAGAGAGAAACACTGGGTTCAATACCCAGTAATGCAAAGAAAAAGAAAAAAAAAAGAGCCACAGCTGTTTATAAGGGTCCTCTGCTCTCTAAGGTGGTCACTAATGGCACTTTTAAGTTAGGTGTGATAGTGCATAATTTGTAATATGATAGTGCACAATCTCTATTTTGGAATAGTTAAACCCTAGAGTATTAAAATAAACAGACTGAGACAAAGAAAAGTGTATCAAATCTGTAAAATTTAAAAGAATGGTAAGTAACATACAAGGTTGATGAGGATGTGGTAAAAATTAGTTTTCAGTTTATATGAGCATATATTGGCACACTCCTTGGAAAGGCAACTTTTCAGTATATACCAAATTTGAAATCACACGTGACCTTTAACACAGAAATATTGCTTCTAGGAATTTATCCAACTGAAACACAAATAACAGATATATATAAGTATGATCAATAGAATGCCACGTTAGAAAAAAAACTAGATAAAATTTAAATGCCCACCAACAAAAAAATGGTTAATTAAACTGCGGTATATTCACTGAAGTCCATCTATACTGGCACTAAAAGGAGTCCATCTATATCACTGAAGGAGGAAAGGAGAAGGGGAGGGAGGATAAATTATAGAAACAGTAAAGAACGCAATCCTACTTTTTACCCTGAAGAGCAGGAATGTAAGGGCTGCAGGACTCTTTCACATTTTACTTTGTGAATTTTTCATTTGTTTACTTTATAAATTGTTTTTACTTTACATATTGTTTTTTAATCATAAAAAAGATAGCCCATGAATCCCAAAGGCAGAAATAGTTCAATGGTCTCCTATCAGGCAGTGACAGTTTTTTCAAAACTCCTGATGAAGGCTGGGGTTTTTATTTGTTCTTAATGAAAAATAGAAGTAACTGGTCCACTAAATTTTATACTCTAAAAAGACAGCCCACAGGCTGAAGGAGAATGAAAAAACAATGGATTACATACCACCCATACCATGCATGAAAAGAAAAAGTGAAAACTATTACTCTTCACCACCTGAAAAACTGCTCATTGTTCTGTTAATAATAATTATATTTCCTGTCTAATGTTGAGGGAGTAGTAGATAAACACTACTTCACAGAAGTATAAAATGATCAAAATATTCCAGTTAAATATAGGGTGAAACTATGAGGTCATTCAATTATGGAAGAAAAAAATCAGCAAAAATATCACATCAAAATTACCTACTTAAGATCCACCAAGTACGTAACATAATGCATTAAAACTCCATACTATCTAACTTCAGAAATTCCTTAACCTTGTAGGTATAGTCTTGGCAGTTGCTAACAACTGCTTTGTAAAACAGAAAAAGTTAGAAGGGAAGGCGGATTCTGAATCTCCTGAGTTTTGTTATAATACAGAAATGAGTCCCGTTTCTCATTCCCTACTATACCTTTTCCTATTCACCCAAAGGATCATAAATTACACCTACTCCCAGCATTCTCTGCCCACTCCCTAAAAGTGGGGCATACCCTTGAAGAGGTACTTTAAAGAAGCTACATACCAATTCTGCTGTGGTAAAACCCGGAAGAGTTCTATTAGCAGGAATAACTAATGATGCTGTGTAGAAAACAAAATAAATATTATACACTTATTAGAATTTACCATTTTTAAGTACAAAATATAGATTTATTTTTTAAATATTTTCTACTATTAGCATGTTACACCATGATAAACTCTAAACTTCCTGATTCCAAGTGAAGAAAACAGTACTTAATCATATTTTTTCCAACAACTTCAGAGAAGGACTTTGTAACTAATCTCTTTTAAGTACCAAAAGGAAGTATCTCATTATAATCAGGCAAACTATACTTTAGAAATCTTAACGAAACATGGAAATTCACCTTTCCCCCTTTTTTATTTAGAGAAAGGGTCTCACTGAATCACCAGGCCGCGCAGGTGGAGCTTGGACTTGTCATCCTTCCACCTCCGCCACCCAGAATGCCGGGATTAGAGGCACGCACCACTGCACCTGGCCCAGCTTCTCTTTAGTAAATCAATGGGGCACTCCACTACAGTCTTTCACTGGAGAGACTAAGTAATACAGTGTTTGTTAAAGTGGTGAATTTCTAGGGGAATGTACTATTGATCAAAAATACGTAACCCAACATAAATCCATTCTAAATTTATAAATTTCTGTTCATTCATTTCATGAAAGCATATTTACAGTACTTTGACCAAGTAAGCAAGCACAGCACACAATGTTAGTAGCAAATGAATAAAAAGAGTTTGCAATGAGGTATGGCTATCAAGAAAAACGTAAGAAAACAAGTTCTAAGGTGAATTCCAACTCGGCCTGCATTAAAGTCACAATCTCATTAATCTCTCCTTTATTATCTGCTGCCTTTCTATGCTAACTGTCCCATACAATGCATCTAAGTAACTATAAAGACCATATAAAAGAGGAAGCTCAGTTGATCAATCTAATCATAAACCTTAAACAATCAAGCTTCATTTTACCTTGCTGAACATAACTCTTAAAATATCATTTTTTCTTTAATAAAAACAAAAACATTTTTAGCATGCTTCTGTAGCCACGCATGTATTAATGTCACATTTATTGTGGTCTTTTTTTCATATATTGCATTAGGGAGAAATGCCCCAAAGATCTGTTTCTGATGCTGGAAGGGCTCCATCACATACAAAGAGCTCAGAAGCGCAAGTATTTTTTAAACTAACCATTCTTCCCGTTTTCAGACAACAGAAGTTAGGCTGCAGATTGATGGCTGGTGAAGCACAGAATTATTCTTATCCTCTCCCCATCTACGGTTTTGCTTATTAACAGGCATTCTTTTAGAAAAGCTAAATGACTAAGAGTCAGAGTGGCGGGAACACAATGGTATTCGTCTTAATTAGCTGAAGTGAGCAAAGCTTAAGCTGCTATTGCTTAAGCCATAGCCTAAGAGGAAACAAAACTCTGTTAACACACTGTCGAATGCAATTAAATGAATTTCTTGGGGGAAAATAGCAGCAATTCTCCTCTTTTAAATACCTTGTAATAAATCCTAAAGGTAATTATCTATATTTAAAGAAATCAAACAGAGCTATAAGAGAGCTTACAAAACTTCCTTGAGAACATCAGACATGAGCGCAGAACTAACAGATGTATAGTGAAGTTTCATGCAGCTCCTATCCATAATTCTGATACTAAATTCACAAGTTCTATGCACCATTTATGTATACTCACAAGTTAAATACATCGTTAAGTTATAGCTTATTTTAAGTAGAATATTTTTAAATATTCAAGATGATTTTAATAACCAAGTAAGTTTTAACTATGTGTTTTTACTCAAACTAAGTGTCATAATTTCAAATTCATATATATATTCTAGGGACATTAATCTCAAAAACAATAAATGTTATAGCAAAAATTCAAGCCCACAATTTTAAAATTTGAAATATGATAATTTGGTCTAATAATATTCACATCTATAAGTACTTTTTCCTACTTACCACCAAAACTTTGATAGGTTATAGCAATTTGTAGCCTCACAATTTTTCTGCTTTGAATCATTCCAAATCCTAGTAGCTAAGTCGCAAGATTTTAACACTGCAAAGCCTGGTCAGTTTATTTTTTGCGACTAATCGTAAGTATGTGGATATCGCTTACCAAACTGAAGAGTCTAACCATCAAACGACCTAAAGAGCTGATCACACTGATAAAAGTTCCACCAGATCTAAGTTCAAGAAGAAGTAGCCATATTTTCTCTACCCACCGTTTGGGGATTTTAATGGTCAAAGGGGAAAGCCCCCGCAAATCTCCCAGGGCTCCTGTTCTGCCTTTCCCTTCTTACCACAATGGCCGACAGTTCATTTAAAAAATCCTGTGAAGGCTGGGAATGTAGTGGCAGAGAACTTGCCTAGCAGGTACAAGGCTCTGGATTCAACTCACAATATCACATGAAATAAATACATACATACATACATACATACATACATACCAGCCAGATGTAATGACACAAACCTATAATCCAAGCACTCTAGGAAACTGAAGCAGGAAGACTGCAAATCCAAGCTCAGCTTGGGCAACTTAGTGACTCAGTGAGACTTTGTTTCAAAATTAAAAATTAAAAATGTAGCTCAGTACAAAGGCCCTGGGTCCAATCCCCAGTATCACAAAAATAAAAAACACGTAGCACAAAGACCAAGTAGAAGTTAATGTGAAATTCCCTACAAATCAGACAATTGTAAGATACCTGCACACCCATGTTTTCCCAGAGCAGTCCCAGTCTATACCTACTACCCTGAAGTGCTTATTAGTGGAATCACATTTCTCTCAAATGTAGAATGTAAATTATATATAAACACATACGTATACAGCAACAGTTCTCACAGCATAATACACAAAACCCATGGGGGTCCCTAATACTCTTACTTCTATAAAAACAAGGCAATGTATGCCTTTTTCACCTCATTAAATATTTTTGTTCTGTTTTGTTGACATTTGCGTTGATGATCCAGAAACTATGAGTAAACCTGCAGATGCCTCAACCTGAATGAAGGCAGCAGCACCAAACCTCGCTCCCAGTCACTGCGTTCTCCACTGCCACGCTCTCAGAGAGAGGAGGGAGAAAAACACAGCAGCAACAGCAGTGAAGCAGTTTCACTTAAAAAGGTCCTTGGTAGAACCTAAGAATTATTAATTATACTAAATTTCAACCAGCAAGTATTCTTTGCTTTTAATATTTTATGAGAGGAAATTGAAAGAATACATAAAGCATTTCTGCAGCCTACCAAAGCACAAAGAGAAGCATTTGTGCTAGTATTTAAGTTATGTGTTGACCTCACCTCTTTTTTAAGAGATACCATTTTTATTTGAAAGCATGACAGAAACTATGGTTTTTCAGACTTGGTTGGACATTTGACTGACAGTTCTGAAAGTGAACTAAGTATTCTCATCACTTCAAGGTAAACACACACACAGAGTGTTTGTTTGCCAATGATAAAATTCAAGCAAAACTTTGTCTTGGAAAATATGTACCTACCAGAGAGAGGAACTGTGCGATGATATTAAAGAATAATACTTTTCCAGCTTTTTCTCTGGGCTCTTGCTAAGTCACTATGCTCCCCAGGATGGGACTGAACCTACACCCCTCTTGCGAGCTCCCCAGGTGCTGGGGTTACACGTGCACCATCGTGCTGGCTGCCTTTATCTTGTACAGTTTTTTAGCTGCACAGCTCAGTGAAGCACTATTTTCCAAACAACCAACATACATTGCAAAATTACACATGAGCAAAGAGCCATATAAAGTGCAAAATGTATCTATGTCACTGAGCCCTAAAGTGATGTTCTGAAAAGCTCTTGAATTTAATTTCAGACTCCACCTTGCGCCTATGTTTTACTGTAGTATCAAATTACTTGAAAATTCTATTCCAATATTACTTCATTTTTCAATTATATATCTGTAAAAGGTGATTTTTATATATTTTAACAAGAACTTATTACAATAGATTAATGTAGAAATAGATACAAAAACTAAAACAGAATGAAGTAGCAATTAAAAACCTCCTAACAGCCATTATGTTAAATAAAATAAGCCCAACGCAGAGAGACAAACGGTGCATTTTCTGTCTCATGTGTGGAAGGTACACAAGCTGCTCTGAATGCAAAATAGTGATCTCTACAGATTGAGATAGAGGGTATGGGGAGATAGAGGGAGGTGGGACAACAGGTCCCAGAACAAAATTAGATGGAAGGAGTTACGTTCTGGTGTCCCACAGCACAGAGAAGTGCATGTAGTTCACAATAACCTATTATATATTTTATGAAGAACTAGAAGAGAACAGCTCAAAAAGACAAAAAAAAGAAAGAAAATACATGAACCCCATTTATGATAGCATCTAAAAAACTTAATACCATACTTATGAAGAAATTCAACCAAAGAACTGAAAGATCTGTAACTTTAATCTGAAAAGTAAAGAACAATAATGAAATAATTGAAGATACAAACGAATAGGGCTGGGGATTTAGCTCAGCAGCACAGCGCCTGCCTGGCAAGTGCAAGGTCATGAATTCGATTCCCGGTACCAGAAAAAAAAAAATAAAAGATAACAAATAGCTATTTCCTCTTCATGGATTGATAGATTTAATATTGCTAAAGGGTCCATGTAACCCAAAGCAGTTCACAAATTCACTGCAATCTCTATTAATTCCAATGGCATTCGTCACCAAAACAGAAAAAACAGTTCTAAAAGTCCTACGGAACAACAAAGGAAAACTCAAATAACCAAAGCAATTCAGAGAAATAAAAACAAAGTTGGGTTCATCAAACTCCCTAATTTAAAATTACAGGCCAGTGGAACAGAATATCAAAATGAAAAATAAACTCAAATATATAGAGTGAACTAATTTTCAACAAGGGCACTAAGAAGACACAATGGAGAGGCCAGGCGTGGTGAAGCACACCTGCAACCCCAGCATTTGGGAGGCTGAGGCAGTGGGGATTGCCATGAATTCAAGGCCAGCCTACCCACATACTGAGTTCAAGGCCAGCTTGAACTACATAATGAGACCCTGTCTCAAAGGAGCCAAAAGAGAAAAAAAAAAAGAAAGGAAAAAAGACGCAATGGAGAAAAAACAGTCTTTTCAATAAATGGGGTTGGGAATACTAGATTTTCACACGCAAAATGATAAAATTGGACCCTCACCATAAACAAATATGCAAAAACCAAAAAATTCAAAATGAATAAAAGACCTAGATGTGAACCATAAAAACACACAAAAGAAAAAAATGGAGAAAGCTTCCAAGACATTAACCTTAGCAATGGTTTTTTGGAGATCACCAAAAAAAACTCAGACTAAAAAACAAAAATAAATGAATTATATTAAACTACATCAAACTTCTGCACAGCCCAGGAGACAGCCAATAAAATAAAAGGTGGCAGACAGATTGGGGCAAAATATTTGCAAACCATATATCTGATAAAGGGTTAATATCCAAATCTATAAAGTCACACAACTCATTAGCAGAATAAAAAATAACTTAATGAAAAAATGAGCAAAGAACCTATACAGATTTTTTTCAAGAGAACATGAAAATTAGACAACAGGTATATGAAAAGGTGATCAACATGATCACCTTTCTAATCACAGAAGTGCAAAAGTACAATACCGTCTTACACCTGACAAGCACGGCTACCATCAAAAAAGTAAGCAATGACAAGTGCTGGTGAAGACATAAAGAAGACTTTCTTTGTACACTGTTGCTAAGAATGCAGAATGGTGCAGCTATTAAAGAAAGCAGCGCGGAAGTTCACAAATGTAAAATACAGCTACCATATGACCCAGCAACCCTTCCTCCGGCTGTGTGCTCAAAAGAAGTTAAATTGCCACCTCCTAGAGATACCTACACTGCAATGTTCACTGCAGTACTATTCACAATAGCCACTCTCTGGGAACAGTACTGTATGTCCAATGATGAATAAATGGGTAAAGAGTATCAGGTAGTATGAATATCCCCAGAAGGATTACTACCAACTTGTAAAAAGGAGAGTCTTCTCCTTGCCATAACATGGCTGAATCTGGGGCACTTTATGCTAAGGGAGAGAAGCCAACACAAAGAAAAATACAATCTCACATGCAAAAATCTAAAAAAGAAAAGAAAGGAAAGAAAGTCAAACACACAGAGACAGGGAATAAATAGTGGTTACCTGATGCAGGGAAACAGGAAATGAGGAGATCTAAGTCAAAGGTCACAAAGTGGCAAATATGTGGGATAAGCAAGTTTAGAAATCATATTACAAAACTGGGGGTTTAGCTCATACTGTATATGCATACTGAATACAGTTCATTACTGTAGTCACAATATTTGGCTCGAAGCATAGACTTGGAGTACTCTTACCACAATGTTTAAAAGTGGGTAACTACACGGAATGATAGGCTTGTTAACTTGCCTGACTTACACTAACCTCTTCACTATGTGTACATCAAGGTATCATTTTGTTCATCCTAAATACATACAGTAAAATTTAAATGAAATTAGATGTAAGAATTCAACTATTTATGAAACTAGATATTAACAAGATCTGCACAAAAGTAAAATTAAGTAGTTTTTATCCTGGAAAATTATTAATTTTCATAAATATGTTATTATATTACCATGTAATTGATTTTCAAATTAGTAAACCAGTATTTTTTAAATTTTCAAGTCTTAATTTCTATTAAATAAATGGTGTCTAAGTATCTATCTTAGTATCTAAGCTTTAAAGTTCTTCAGGGTCTTCGGTTTGCAAACGTGTAAAGGAGTCCTGAGACTAAAAGCAACTGAGTATAGAAGACACAGGAAATTACTAGACAAATGAGTAATACAGCCAAGAAAATGTGGCCGGGCAAACAAGGTTTAAAAGTGGAACAGAGAAAGGCAAATAACTTATTCAATTGCAGATTTAATTTGAACTCATTATCAAAAGAAATAAAAAGATTGTAGAAGTAAGTTTAAGTTATTTTAATCAGGCTTTAAAGAGCATACCACGGGAAGACACAATTAAGAAGTACTTCAATTTTATGAGGCTATTTATTTTAAAAATCTTATTGTAGGGTACCAAGAAATAAAGACAGATAGAAACAAGATCTATAATGCACTTTTAAAGGATACAGCAATTCCTCCTAAACCTCTTCATTATAAATCACACAGCAGAGAATAAGGAGAAAAACTGCTTATTTTAATGTAATTATTTCTATTATTCTAACCTTTAAGACAAAGAATGAGAATAAGGTGCTGAGGGAAAACCAGCTAGATATGTTGCCAGTTTTGTGATTTAAATCGCTGGTCATATTACCATCTTGTGGCAAAATGAAGTACTGCAGTTTTGAATGACAAAGACCCTGAGAAGTGTTAACCATGATTTCATAAAAGACAAGTATTCTCCCCCTTCCCACCACACCTTCATGCCAACCCCAAGTAAATGAGCCACTGGAGTTCTTTAATAAAAAATGGTTTTTAAAAAGTCTGAAAGAATGTTAAGCAAAGAAATAGTAAAGGGAATGTACTAACGCAATAGTAAAATTAAAAGTATAGCCAAAAACCCAATGACCGATGAAAAATGTTTCAATGTGGCAATTTAACAATTAAAACTATCATGTCTACTTCTTACTGAGCAAAATTATATGTTATAAGCACAGCGTGAGATAAAACTTGTGTTTGGCAGCTTAATGTCATTATTACTTCATTTCGTTTTATACATCAAAATGGCTGCCATACTTAAATCCTCTGATTTTGCAGTACAAGTATTTGTATCCCTAATAGTTTCTCTTCACCTCGGCCCACATAATTTTCATGTGAATTTTCCAAACATGCAAAAATTTACTTACTTCTGATAACCTAACCCAAAATCTACCCTTACTTCTTGCAGACACTATTCTACCGAATTTCAACTAAACCCAATAAAATCTATTTGTGCATGTATACATACACAATTTGCATAAAAATTACAAGAATCAGACAAGAAATAAAGAGTACAAAGATAGAATGTTTTATCTTTTATTAGCTAGTCTCTTCTAGTTTAAATTGACATACATAATATGAACAAGTATTTCCCTTAGACGCAGAAGACTAGATTCAACAAGTCCAAGAACAAAGATAACATGCATATGGTCAACTTCGTGCCATTATTTTACATAACCAAAACAGTAAGTCGCCTGAGTAAGTTCCATATTTTTGTTCATTCTCTCCTTTGCTTCCAATACAATAACAGATTTATAAGATACACCAGAAGTAAAAGGGAAAGAATGCACAAGCAAGCACCTACCTCTCCTATCTCCCCTCTGCTACTACTTCAGCAATGGCAGACCAAGTTAAATTCTCTGCAACAACCAACGAGTACTCCAAGCTCAGACTAGATAACTTGTTTCTCTAAAGTGAGGCCTGGTCACTTTTGTGAAATTTGATATTTTAAAAAACTAGTTCAGGTAATCTGAGGTTTTCCGTCAACAATTACATGACATAACAATTTATACTGTGTTCATTTCATGGTAATGGCTTTGAAGTCCAAGCCTTCTCTAATTTAAGAATGCTACCGTAATTACAAACACTACCAAATGCTAATTTGCTCTGAAGATGTAAATGGGACTGATTTATAAATTTTATCCAACCTGTTGATGACTGCAATGTTTGGTGCAAGGTGTGCGGCAGCTGAAGGGTGAATAAAGGTGAACGGACGCTATTTCCGAAGAAGTCTTCTGTAGCTTTAGACTGCAAAACTTTGGTTTCCCAGAGCTGCAGAGGAAAAGTAAGTTTGCTTTTTTAAAAACATTATTGGGATAGTTACTTCTATTTTTTCAGCGTTTAAATTTAAACTGTCAGCTGATGACACACTGGGGAGTACTACAGCACAGGCGGTGAGTTAAAGCTGTAATCTATGTGGGCTTTTTATCGGAATACAGGAGAGAAATTCGTATTGTCTACAAACCTGTTTCAAGTCCTTCAAAACATGCTCCTCTACACCTTCTTCAGCAAACAGATGCCGCACTCCTTCAATTACATCTTCGATTATAGATCTGTAGAGTTTAGACTACATGAAAACAATTGTTAAAGTTTTAAGTTCTTAACTTTGAATGCATTCAGCCTTCAAAGACACACAGTGCATTAATTCCTAATCTCATAGTTTAAAAAAAAAAAAAAAGTTTTTTTTCTAAGTACATCCTACTCCCAGTTAGTGTTGGCTTGCCATAAATCGTGTTGGCTCCAGGCCCCTAACCTCAGCAGCCGGGGACGCCTTGTAGTCCTCTCCCTACATGGCTGCGGGACAGGACTACCATAAACTACAAGATAATCTCATTTGGATATCATTATAAAAACAGACAGGGTGGGACTGGAGATTTAGCTCAGTGGCACAGCGCCTGCCTGGCAAGTGCAAGGTCATGAGTTCGACTCCCGGTACCAGGAAAAAAAAAAACAGGATTATTCTACTGCACTTTTTAATCAGTATATAACCTCCCTGTTCCTTTCAAAAGGGGAAATTAATTTAAGGCAGCTGGAAGTAAAACTTTGTTTTCAGTTTTTCTCAAAGAAGCCAATATAGCTTTTTCAGGGTTCACTATGTTACTTCCACGAATGTTAATAAACTTCAAGGCTTAAAAGTGGGGGGTAATCAAAGTCCATCCCACTTCCAAAAGACATATACTCTCAGTCTCTCTCTCTCTCTCTTTCTCTCTTTCTCTCTCATACACACACACACACACACACACACACACACACACACACACGGAACCACTATCAGATAGAAGAACAACTGCATTAAAATGGATTTCCTATAACAGAAACTTAAGGAGACATAAACAAAGCTAACCCTTCTGCAATGCCCATATTGTACAGACACAACATCACCCTAAAGTATCCTAGTAAAATCACGTTACGGAACAAAATTAATATATTTCTACCCAGATTACACATTGGTTATATGAATAAAACAATGAGTATGTGAAATAAACTTCACCCTTCAAATCAATGTAAAATGTACTCCCTCCAGGTCCCCAAACCCAAAGGGCCACACTAAGTGTGCTGACAATACTACCTGGTACAGGTTCCACCGATGAAAAATGGCAAACAGGAATTTAGTTGAGTTGCTTAGTTCAAATTGTTTCATCAGAACAAAATGAAAATTCCAGCGTTCTACAGGATTCCCTCAGGGCTGGGGATATAGCTCAGTGGCATAAACGCCTGCTTGGCAAGCACAAGGTCGTGAGTTCGATCCCCGGTACCGCAAAAAAAAAAAAAAGAAAAAAAGGATTCCCTCTTCATGTTATTCATAAAATATCTGAAATACTCCAGTTCGCTCCAAGAGAAGCTAAGTTTTACACTAGTCCTTCTACAGACCCAGGATAAGCCTATGACTAGGCCAATCAGTAACATCTGAATAATATGTTAGTCACAAGCATATCCATTAAGACTAAGTGACCCTAGATTAGTTGCCTCTTCTCAAACAGGTTACCGTGATAAAGGCTTTCTAAATTGATGTTTCCGTGTTAATCCAAGCTAGTGTGATCACACTCAGAGTTAGAGGAAAAAAATCCCCACGGCTAAAACCATCTTTAAGCTCTGCCCTCAGAATATAACAGCAGCAGTCAAAAAGAACCCATTAGAGCACAATTTTTCAAAGCGAACTAGGGATTCCACACAGTTTCTCTTGTAGGACTGCAGTGAGACTTTACAGTGCTTACTCTGTTGTCTTTATGGAATCTGTATCCAGTCCAGAAACCCATTTTAGTTCCTTCTCTAAGGGAAGACATACACTGTGCTTACATTTCACAATCAGGTTTACTGATGCATTTCTCACGCCTATATTTAAGTATATTTCTTAAAACATACTCATAAAATTGATACACATTAAAATAGCATGTCTCAAAAAATGGAATTTTTTATGCTACATATGTATATACGAAATTTTAAAAATTTATCTGGACAAGTACGTTGTCTTTCAGGAAATATAAAGCCTGTTGATAACAGAGATGAAGCCTTTTCTTCTTTTAATTCAGGTTTGTTAAGATGGAGGGAGAGTCTCACAAATGTCATTCAGGCTGTAAATTTTGTGAGCTTTAGGAACTCTTGAGATGCTAAAGGTCAGGAAAAGAAAGAGTAGGCACAGACTAAAAATCGGCAGAGTAGCAAGCCAAACCACATTACCTGTTGTTTCAGGTTAATAAAGAGTGGACCCCTGACTTGCGAACTCAATTCCTTCCTGAGGGCTGGTTGTAACTCAAGTTATCAACTGAAGGCTCGGGGCCCTCCACAGCGCCCTCAAAGTCTCCCTCCCGTGTAGAGGCAGGTCTCAGCGGCCTTAGGGACACCCTGGCCCTGGAGAGGACGTTGTAATGTTCCTTCCACAACTCGTTAAGGGTTAGATCTGTATCTGAGACCACCCAGAAAAATAAACACCAGCGTTGGGGTCATAACTCAAGCCTTTGGCCCCAAGTTAAAACTAAAATCCCGGTCATAACGCAAGCGGTTCATACGTCAGGCCGGCCCTAACTCGAAGGTCCATTTATCTACTTTAATTCTGCAGCACTGCCCATACTGAAATTAAGAATTAGAACACAGGCGAACTTGGGAACTTTCTAAGGTGCATGGAATCAGCTGGGCGGAGGGCAAATTCACCTCTGCGCTTTCCCCGGGACTGCGGCCGACGCGGAGCTGGGTGGAGGCCAAGGCGGCGCCCCACCACGGAGCCACCGCTCCAGCCCTTCCCGACGTTTGGAGCCGGTTTCAATAAACTGCCAGGATGGGCTCGCACTCGCGGTCCCCGCTCGGGTCTCTAGAGAAGCTGGGATTACACACGTGTGCCCCAAACCCCCAAGTGCCGGCACCCTCAGCTCCGGCGGGGAGGTCGCCTGGGGGGGGCACCTGTCTGGGGGGGACGCCCTCCTGGGGGGGATGCCTGTCCTGGGGGGGATTCCTGGGGGGGATGCATGGGGGGGCATGTTCTGGGGGAACACCTGTCCTGGGGGTAAGAGGCCTGCCCTGGGGGAGGAGGACGTCTGGGGGTGGACGCCTGTTCTGGGGGGGAAGCCTGTGGGGGGCATGCCTGTCCCGGGGGGAGCCTGTCCTGGGGGGGATGCTTGTGGGAGGGACGGCTGTCCTGGGGGGGATGCCCTCCTGGGGGGGATGCCTGTCCTGGAGGGATGCCTGTGGGGGGGTGCGTGTTATGGGGGCAACAACTGTCCTGGGGGTAAGACGCCTGCCCTGGGGGGGGACACCTGTCCTGGGGGGACGCTTGTGGGAGGGACGCCTGCCCTGGGGGAGCCCCACTTCCGCCTCAACTACAGGCGCCCCTCCCAGCCTCGGACAAGGCCGAGGAGGGTCATGAAAGCCTGTGATGGGCTACTGAGGATTAAAGGGTGTGTGGGGTTCAGTGCCGCGCCCAGAGTCCCGCGCAGCTTCCCTCTTCACAGGCCCGAGGACGCGCCTTACCACCGGGTTGATGCCGGCCATGACGCCCGCTCCAGCGCCTGACTCCTCGCGCCTGCGCAGCACGCGGCGGCCTCGCGGACCAAGCGGGAACCTTTTCAACGGCGCGTTGCCTGGCAACGCTGGGCGGGGCGGGGTGGGGCGGGGCCAGTTAAGGAGCGGAGGAGCCTGACTTCCGGGGCGGGGCCTTTGTTTCCTCAACCTGCGAAACAAAGACCGACCACGTAAGGAAGCGCGGTGCCACGGGAGTGTCCTTTCACCTTCAGCTTCAAAGGACTTGGGCAAGAGTGGGTAAGATTAGCGATTCTGAGTTTACCAATTATTATTCCAACCCCTAAACCCCTCTCGCAGCTGAACTCAGATACAAGAACCAATCTAAGACTGGTTCTTACACCTGGGAAGCAGCAGCATCACCTGAGAACCTTTTAAAAATGCAAGTACTTGAAGTTCCCCATAACGCGGGCGTACACACACACACCCACCACCACCACCCACCCCACCACCCCCAGTGAATCAGAAACTCAGAACAAAGAGCCCAGGGTTGTCCACTTCAACGTGGCCTCCAGCTGATTCTGGTGGTGCCAAAGTGGAGCCCACAGCCCTAAGACAGACTCGCAGCTTTGGGTGCACATGAAAATCACCTGGGAAGCTTGCAAAAACTGGTGCCTGAGCTCCATCCCAGAAACCTGATTCCAAAACATAACCGAGGTGGGGGGCCACCGTTCATGTAAAGTCAGCTCACCCCTGATGTCCTTTTCCTCTGCAGGCAAAGGGCACCGTTTGTTGACCGGTGATTTCTTTTTCATTTTCCTAAAGTTTGCATCCCCTACCTAGCTAGGGCGAGGATAGCGATCATCTGGAGGGTTAGAAAAAGGAAGAGGTTGTCTATTGCAACCGTTCTGGCTTTAAACAGCCTGTCTAGCCTGAAGATAGGTCTTGACCTAACCAGATGGTTACTTGATGATTAAAATTCTATTAGGTTTGAAACTGGCTATTTATTTATGTATATAAGTGCAGTAGAGTTAGGTAGGCTCTACCACTGTATTTTTTTGTCTGGAACAAGTACCTTTTTGGTTCCTGAGTTTTCAGCAGCTGAATCATATGGGGCCCTTTAAAAGGCTTTCCTAAATTGAAAACTATCGTAAGTTTCTTTTACACAAAGCCAGGTAGTTTGCATGGTAATTTTTTAACAGTTATGTCTATCTGGCAGTTTACCACCAAGAGTATTCAAAGTGACGTATCTTTCACCCAAAATAGAAAGACAAAAGGCAGACATTGATTCTTTCCAATATTATAAAATCCAATTAAATTATTCAAGCTGAGAAATAAGAAAGATGAGATGCCTCATTTTCCATCTTTTTTCAGAACAAGGTTTTAAAATTTTATACCTAAATGCATAGGATGGTAGTCACCTTTTTATGACAGCAGACTTTTGTTGTATTTTACTATATATATTACAACTTTCTCAAGGCTACACTATAGATCATGCTGATTTTTGAGATTAAATTTGGACCCTAGTAGCCATAAAAAATGTGACGAACAGTCTAATTCAAAGTAATAGAAAGTTAATTAATGTTAGCAGAGGAATATCAGCCCTTTCTGTTTATCCCTTGTGGTCTGTCCGAATGGTCACTGGTAGCCTTGGTTATAATTTCATCCCAATAATAGGCACCAGCCATAAGGCATGCTTTCATACAAGCCTTAATCAGTGAGGGGCAAACCTTGTAGAGTGCTTGATACAGGCAGCACATGTGCCATACGTTTGCCACCACTGTATGAATCCAACTTGTGAGTTGGCTCTGAACCTTTGGTAGTCAGCTTCCAACATGGCCACAGGTTGAGCCTTGCCTCCTGGTGTTCGAAGCCTGATATTGTCCCCTCCCGTGTCGTACCATGAAGTTTGCTGTTGACCCCTCTCATGTTGTACCATGGTTTGTCTGGGCAAACAGAAGAAAGCAGAAGTAATGGTACGTCACTTCAAAAATTATTAGAAGACTCTGGGATGACTCTTTCTGACCACTCACTTTGCAGCTCTTTCAGAAAAATCTAGGATAGTAGAACCAGTCACCAAACGCAGGAGGTGTCCTGAGACTGAAGGAGGAAGTGGACAGATCCAGGATGGCACAGAGTGAAATTTATCTATTTCTACAGATAGAAGCAGCAGCAAGTCCATAAACAGCAGCAGGACAGTACGATCCCTGCACTCCAAAATAGGACAAAGAGCTTTATGTGCTAAACTAGACAAAGGTGAGCCGCAGTCAAATGGAATACGCCTGGCTTTCTCAAAAACTATTAACATGTCAAAACTCAGTTCTTAGAAAACAGTCTGGGCATGCCTATAAGATTTGGAACGCACATGGGGGTCACCTGGTGGACAAAATGGCGGTTACAAACCAAGATGGCTGTGGGCAGGACAGGTTGCAGCGAAACGCCAGCTGTCATGTTGCTGGGACACGCAGGTAGCACACAGACACACGCAGGAGAGGCCTGCATGGCAAGGAACCGCACAGCTCCAGCCCACAGCCGGCATGTGCCGGGTGCCCGCCCACGTCACAGCACAGAGCCTGCATCCCGGCCCTCCCCTGGCTGGGCAGTGGGACGATTGTGGCCCTGACCTTCAGCTTGGCTGCATCCTGTGAGAGAGATGGAACACGGCCACCTGCAAAGTACCCCCCCGACTCCTGGCCCTCTGAAACTGACAGAATACATCGTTTTAAGCAGTCAAACATTGCAGTAATTTGTTACACTGCACAAGATAAGTAATACAGGGCCTGTTCTCTGCTTAGACCAAGACTGGAGGAGGCTTGGTTTTCCCACATTGTAATCTTCGCACTTAAGGCTTCTTGAGCACCCTCATCAGTCACATGAGAATCTTCACAGTGTATAAAGGAATCTTTATAGACTGATGTTTGGTAGCTCTGACCCAAGATTATCATGAAACAAGCAGATGTTTATGGTCATGGAATGGTCACATTTCTTTTGTCAGTTTCCCAAACTCAGGCAGGGAATGGTGTTGCAGACACAGAGAACTTCTGATGCTAAAATTGAAATTTCAAGGTCCCAAAGCCGCAGTGAGGCAGTTCTACAGTGACTATTTTTTATGTGAGTGGATAGAGAATAAAAAAGGAATGCTGAGCTTTAAGTATTTCATTCTTAGAAATTATACCTGTGCCAAAGCATAAAGTTTTTCCCCCAAGCACCCAGATTAGTGCATCAGAGTTTCACATCTCCTCCTGGGCTTAGAGACCACTATATATATATATATTAGTGACCAACGACAATTTTTACAACATTTAAGCAAATCTTAATAATCACATGGATTTCTTTGTCTTCTGTGTGTTCTCATTATTTTTGCCTGGAGGTTTCAGTGGTACTATAGAAACAATTTTATTTTACTTATTGTGTGAAAAGTCGATATTTAGGAAGTCCTTTCCTTGAATAAAAATTTTGAAATCTATTTCACAGACAGCCCATCGTCTTTTATACATTAAACTTTATAGTTAAGTACAGGATATTTCAATAACTGTATGGACCCTAAATAACATATTTATCTGTAATTAAAAAATATAGCTCACCTTTCAGCGTATGACTTGAGGCAGCAAATATTCATCATTACCTTCCAAGCATTTTGCAATCAGTGCACTAAACCCGACAGTGTTGTGTCTCTCTAGCTCTGTTTCATCTTTCATATCTGCGAGGAAATGAAAATCCAGATAATATGTGTCTCACCTGGTAAACTTCAAATGCTTACAATGTTGGCAGTTCTGATTTATTTATACTCTGCACTTTGGTAACATTTTCCATTTTCTAATACAACTTCAAAATCAACCTATGTTATTTGAACACAGATATTGTTCCTCTATCCACAGATATCGCCCCCACAGCCCCACAGCCCTACAGGGTTCCAGTCCAAGTGACCATATGACACAATCCAGTGCCAACTGGCGGCCTTATCTCATTAATGTACCATTAATGAGAACGTTAACTGCCCACTTCAAAATGTGTTAATATTCAAAAGATGTGTACATCGTGTGCACATGCAAATTACTGACAGTACTAACTCATCACAAGGATGCAAGAGGACTTTAAATACAAGTTCCCATCACTGCTTCCTCAACACTCTCATCATGGTCTTGACAAGGAGTCAGTATTTTCCTAGCTTACAAAGGACTCCATTTCATTCTTTAATCATTATGTGTATAACTATACATAAGCATGAAATAGTAACAAGGATAACGTTCCTCGTCTCCAGTTAATTCATCCGGCCTAAATTTCCTCTTAGAGAAGACAGGGGCAAAGATCCAATGTGATGTTAGGGTATGACCTCAAGAGAAGCAACCAGCTTTGATCTCATAGTAATTGTGGTTTTCTTCTTTCCTAACTGTTCTCATTTTAGGAGCTGTAAAGGTATCTTGGATCACCTACATTGCTGTCCTACGTGCTTCAAATATCAGGGGAGGCAGAGACAGCATGAGGTAGATATACTTGTTTCTATTCCTTCCACTAAGAACAGATACAAATTCTGAATGTAAATGGATGTGGTGACTCACACCTGTAATCCCAGTACTCGGGAGGCTGAGGCAGGAGGATTATTGTGAGTTTGAGACCAGCCTGGGCTACAAAATGAGCTCAAGGCCAGTCTGAACTGCATAGCGAGACCCTGTCTCAAAAAGACCAAAAAAAAAAAAAAAAAAAATTCTTCATGTAATGTATCAACCAGCATCAGAAGACTCAGAAGTGGGAAGAAGCAGACACACCCGTTAGAACCCCACGAGTGAGGAAGCACTATGTTTGTTCCCTGTTTGTTTGGTTTTATTCCTGCCCCGTACGTCCCAAACTGGTTGTTGGAGAAGGTGGCAACTCAGGAACCACCAATGACCAACTGCCAGAACTCTCAAGCTGAAGGATCCAGAGAGACATTAACATGAACCTGTTCAACAGTAGCCACTGTACTCCACCCAAGCACCACGGAGAAACTGTTCCCGCTTCTACCTTTGTGCCTTCTGCTTGTCTTGTGCGGGGCTTTTTGGCTTTGAAGATGGGCGATGTCACGGTCCCGTAAGCTTAAGTACGCTGCTTTGAACGGTTCCATTTGTTCCTAGGTTATAGCACTGGGCATTGTCCAGGCCACGTAAAAGGTTCCTAACAAGTATTTGTTCGCCTATGAGTGTTCACTGGGACAGTCTAGTGAATAATCCCTTACCTGAAGGTTTCTCATCTGAGGTTACATTTTGTCCGTATGTAGTAGTCAAGGGAAGGAAATTAAAGACCCAGTACTCTTTAAAGTACAGGTAAAATCCTGCAGCTATACAATAGTTCCAAGATGCCTTTATGAAGAGACGGATGAGAAATAACATTGACTTGATCAGAAGTTGGGTATCAAAAGAGAAAACACGGTCCTCGGCATACAGTAGGTTCCAAAAAGCTAAGCGTGTGTCCTGTCCACTTTCAGTGGCCTTCAAAAACAGGAGTAAATCAATTTTTAAAACAAATAATTTAATCTTTTCAACCCCTTAAAGATATGTGTGCATATTAAGAAGTGTATATTCATAACCATAAGTGTGACAGGGTTTAAATTCCTTGCAGACTGAGGCTGGGTATTACTCATCCTTTTGTGGCCGCGGGGTCTCTACATAGTCCCCCAAGGAAGGAAAGCATTCATTAGTGCTATTATTTGAACTTACTGTGAAACTTATAAAATGAAAGTTCTAGCCTATGTGTGGGGAGAAAAAATAAAGACTAAAATGTAACTGTCCTTGAGAAATTTAGTGCTTTGACTTAAATTCATCCTATATTCGCTCATGCAATTTTTATTTGGCACGTAGATCAAAAACTCTGGGCAAAGGATCAGACCCACCCACTGGCGTCACTTCTCCCACCACATCTGGCCATCCCGGAATGTAAGTTTCTTTCTACGTGAAGAAAAATACGAAAATAATTATAATATAATAGGATTCAAACTAAAAATTGTTTATGAGGAGGAGCGCCTGACCTGAACAGGAGGGCCAGGCAGGGCTTCCAAGAGCAGGAACGCCAGACTGAGATTTGTGGCACACAGGGAAGATGAAGAGGGCCAGGCAAAGTGTCCCGGGAGGGGACAGGACGGTAACCACGGCCACAGGCTCGAGAGCAGGGCGGGTGGAGGAGTGAAAACAGGGAGGTTTGGCCACAGGCCCGCAGCGAGCAAGGCAAGTCGTGCCAACAGCTCAGGCCACCAATGGGTGCCCATTCCTGCCACAAGGAGATGGAGGAGCCGCACTGGACGCTCGCAGGCAGTGACAGGGCTGCGGGTGCAGAAGGAGGGTCGGTGGCTCCCTCTGAAGAGGAACGTCTGAGGGGAAGAACACCAAGATCTAAGCAGCTTCGCTGGATCACGTGAAGCAAAAAAGGAAGGGAGACCCCAAGGCCCTGGGGAGGGGGCAGGGCTGGGCACCCTGATGCAGGGAAAGGCAATAAAGAAACCGAGCCACAAACACCATTTAGTTCATTTTACCCAAGGCCATCTCTGATCCCAGAGCAACTTTAATATAGAATTTGTCCTTTTCCGCAATAAGTACTTGGCTGAGCCTTTGAGAAGTGTTTCAGAATATCTCAGAATTATCCACTGGAGAGACAGGCTTTTGGCATTTAACAATGTCACTGCTCAGAGACGCTCTTTCCTTGTCCTTTTCACGGCACTTGAGGACCTTTGGGGAGAATTCTCTCAGAGCAGTGTGAAAATACCAAAATAAAACTCCCTCCGTGCCCCTGGGCGCCGCCCCCCACAGCCGCAGCCACGGCAGCCGGCGTCTCCGGGGAGCACAGCAGAAGAGGGGCGAGTCCTGGAGCGTTCTGAGGAGCTTCCAAGGCAGGCTGCCTCAGCCATCTACTCCCTGAAGACGGAGATGGGTGAGCTCAGCTGCAGTGTCACAAGAACGTCCTCGGGTGGGTCAGCGCAGTGGAGCACATATTGGAAGACACGATCCTTTTCAAGAAGATAAAGGGTCCTTAAAGGCAGTCATGAAGGGTCCTTGAAGAGATAGGGCCCTCTGCCTGTGAGATGCCGAAGGGTCTCTGAATCTAGTTCCACTTCTGGCAAGAGAACTAAGAAATAACTTCTTGGATATACATGCCTGACTTCACCTGTACCCACTACCCTGTCTTCCCCCATGGCAGTGGTGAACTGTCTCTGCCCGTACCTACCTCAGTCCCTCTGCTAGTGCCTAGGGCCCTGCCTCCTCTTCTCTGCTCAGAGATACAGCCCTGGGAATATTCTCTCTCTTATGCATCGTTCATTTTCCTTCCACCACAGGCTCTCTGCTAACATGTGCAAGTACCCACTATCTAGGGGTGTACCAAAATGGGAGTGTGAGCAGCCAGCCCTGGGAACAGGCAGCCGTGGGATGCACTGTGGAGAATTTAGACACAGTTATGAAACAACTACACCAATCTGCTTTTGATCATCACTATACGCTGACCATTCTACGAATTTCCACAATAAAATGTTCACTACCCCCCTTCAATGTCTTTGCCATACATTCTAAGTAACTGGTATGATTTCTGTTGAGTTTTAACAGAGCAAAGAAAGACTCGAATCAGCATATTTTAATTTCTTACTATTTAATAAACCTATTTTCATGGAAGTTAATTTGGGGGACTCCCACTGACTCCGCTGAACCCTGACAGGTGTGGCCCAAATGCACACACTCATTTTGGGAATTCACACTGGTCCAGAATTGTTCAAACTTATTTCACGGACAGTGTGTGTCTCCATCTTTGTTGGTGATACGTATTCTTAAACTTCAACCATAGGTTTATAGTAAACAGTGAGTGTAAAGATGAGGAAACTGAACTTAGCTTACTTCAATTCTGTTATTCTATGTGACCACATGGAGTTTTATTTATGCTTTCAAATTTTCTTTTTGGTTTTTTGAGACAGAATCTCATTCTGTAGTTTAGATTTTACTTGAACTCACTATGTAGCCCAGGCTGGCCTCGAATACCCTTTTAAACTTAAAAGAGGAAAATGGCTCATGGTAGTTAAATCTTGAAAACTACCCGACTGTCCATCAACAGATGAATAAAGAAAATGTCATAAAAATGATAAACTTGCATCATTTAGAGGAAAGTGAGTGCACCTTGAGACCATAATTCTAAGGGAAAGAAATCAGCAACCAAAGGTTAAATAGCACATGCTTTGTCTTATACAAGAAATCCAAAGTATAAATAGTTTAAAGAGTAAAACAAATCTAGACAGCAGAAATCAGAGAGGTGAGACCTTTTGCAAATAGGAGGGGGCCTAGGAATGCAGAACGATGGGACCGGAAGAGGAAGGAAAAGAATTAAGACAACAACTCTTCATGATAACTGCATGGCAGACAGGTACCAATAAAATGTACTTTTATAAAGGACTAAAATGGAGTATGAATTGAAAGATATTTTTGTTTGGTGAATTTTGTTTGGGCACTTTATACATTAAATATTTACTGTATTAAAATAATGACATTTTTAAATTGAAGCTTATCCTATTTTAATTGTGCATTGTCTCTGTTATACAGCTTTGAAATGATTCCAAATGCTTATATAGTTTGTTAAGTGAATGTCATGCATTTTACCCTCCCTGATTTCACACATTATGTCACCCTGTATCAGGCCCCATCTGTGAGCTACTGACCTCACCATCCATCTGGACTACAAAAGACACAGGGAAGCGTCTCGCAGGCGATTTGATAGTTTAGGCAATGGTAAGCCGGCGCTGTCAGCCACTTCTCCAACATAGAGAGAGCTCAGATTCCCACAGAGCTACACCCTCTCAGCCTTCGTGCTGATCTCCGGAGCTAATCTCCGGGGCCGCACAGGTCAACACCAACTGCCTTCAGATGCAGAGCAACCTTCCTGTCTTCGCAGATCTCCCCGTGTTGGACACCATCTCGCTTGAGGAGCTCTCTTCAAAGGGGCACCTTCCACTGCAGTGAGGTTTTGCTTCCCACGAGGACTGCTTCCACCCTAACTTGAGCACTTAGATTTTAATCATCTTGGGACTCACTAGTATCTCCTGCAAGATTCAAAAACCCAAAAAGGGAAAACTGTCTTTGTATATCAATCAACCATATGATTCGTGAAATTCTACTTTCACGATCTCCTTATTTTAACCATGAAAATGAATCTACAACTGAAAAAACTCAAGAAAATATTACAAGAGTACTATAGTTTAGCAGTTGCTTAAATTGTTATCTTTTGCAGACATTTTAATTTCACTGTATTATATATTTATTATAAAAATTCATTTAGTAGTTACTGGACAATTACTTACACAGAATATCTCATCAAACTGTCATAAAAACCAAAGTTCAGTTAGGCAGACATAAAAAGTATGAATTAGTAGCTGTGCTTCTTTTTATCCTGTAGGAATCTGTAAGTATTAACAAGATTATGAAACCAGCAATTGCTTCAGAGGTCATTTTTATTAGCCAAGTGTGGTGGCACACCCCTGTAATCCCAGCACTTGGGAGGCTGAGGTGAGAGGATTGCCTGAATTACAAAGCAAGAGTCTGTCTCAAAAACAAATTTTAATTTAAAAACAAAATTTGAAGTACAATTACTATACCAACATGCCATAGTGTTGACCCAGTGGATTTCGATCATGAAAAATTTTAAAAATGAAATAGGAAGTGATGGAAGGAATGGCTACTGTTATGGTTTGGGGGATACTGCAAGGGAACAATATAATACAGGACACATATTTTATAAGATTATTTATAATAGTCACCCAAAGAATGATACACAAATGAGTGCAGGAATCTGCCCACATACTGTAGACCAGGAATCCAGAAGAGGGCCTGGATCCCACAGCAATGTCCTGCATGAGTCCAGCTGAAAACCTTGAGTTCATGACAGTGCCTCCCACAAATCCAACTGGAGGCCCAGAACCATAACAATATCTCATGCAGGCGTGTTTCCCAGATCTGCTGCGAAGGCCCTAGATTGTGGAATCTAGGAAGTCTGTGCCAGCGGGATGAAGGATCTGTGCTAGCAGGCTGAGGGATCTGCACTGGAGCCAGGAAGCAATGCTCAAAGTGAGAACCAGAGCTCCCCCAGAAGGTACCACAGCCATCCTCAGCAACAGTGAGGTCCCGAGCTCCTCCAGTGGTGAAGACAGCTGAGTTCCCATCAGGAAAGCCAGTGCAGCAAGCTTCTTCAGGAGCCTGAGCTGTGCACCTTCTTCCCCTCCGGAGCCAGGAAGAGATGCTCAGAGTGAGGACCAGAGCTCCCCCAAAGTGAACCGAAGCTATTCTCAGTGCTAACAAGGCCCCAAGCTCCTTGCAGGATGAAAACAGCCAAGTTCATGAGGAAAGCCAGCATGACAAGCTCCCCAGTAGAACCAACAACTCCTTACAGCTTCTACCAGCTCCCCACAGCCTCTCTCAGCTCCCAACAGCCTCACTTCCTCTTCTCCAGTTCTGCCTCTTATGCGGCTGGCCACAAGCCTCAGGTGGGCCCCCACACCCAGCACACTCTTCCTCAGTTCAGCTGGGGGGTTATAAGCTGACCACCAGTTGCCAATCCACTACAGCTCCATTTATTTTAATATGCAATGCCTGCACATCTCTCATGGGATTAGGGAAAATTTGGAAGAAATACCAGCGGGCCATGGAGGGCAAGGTGTGCTCCACACAGCACGTGATTCAGATGACGGAGCTGAAAGGTGCCAGGAGTCATTTTCTATCAGTATCGACATAAGCAAGAGAACAAGAGTCAGTGTCAGTGTGATAAAGCAACAATAAAAATGAAAGCGACACTAATAAAGACAAGGACCAAGAAGGTGTTAGAAAACTCTCCCACCCTTAGCAGCTATTGTCCAACATTCATATTTACAACAGAGCACCTCACAGAATTTAGGGGGTTCAAACGAGCCACCCCAGAATATGCTGCTCTTGCATAGTGATAATCTCAGCTGAAGACACTGGAGAAGCAGCAGGTGCAGGAAGGGTTCTGGCCTTCAAGCTACCCAAAACCAGGTCATAAAATTTCCCACAAGCAAGGTGCCCTCCCATGCGAGGAGGAGGAGACCACCCTCATCAGGGTGAGCCCAGGGCAAGCCCGCACAGACGAGTCTACCAAGTCACTTTCCTTTCCCTTGGTCCCGCACACAGTCCCTAGCCACCCGCCTGCAGCCTAACGTCCTCGTCCCTAGCCCAAGCCCCGCCTTGTCGTGGCACCACAACTTACTGTTCTTTGTGGCGAAGGTGTTACGTTTTGAGGCCTAGTGGTTTCTTAGGGTCTTTATTTCCCTTCTGAAGACTCTTCTGTACCTGTAAAAATATTACAGTAAACTGGACTCTTTTCTTCTGATAATCTGTTTGAAGTCAATTTGATGGGTAGCCCAACTATAGGGCCTAAGAACCCAAGAGAGTTTACCTCCCCAGAGTAGAGGCCCCTGGCTCTCCCTCTGCTGGACTCGGCTTCCCTGACCTGTGTTCCAAAGACAGTCTCTGCTGTGGGCACCGAAATCCACGCTGCTAGATCCAGGGGTCAGGGCCGGGTCCTCACCTCGCCCTCCGCGGCGTCTCAGACGGCCAGGTTTATCCTTCCTCGCTGGGCGTCTTCTTCTGCAGCTCCTCTTCCTCGGTGTCTTTCCCTACACGGTCCTCGTTCTCCGGAACCCCAGGGGCTCTGCTCTCAGACCACATCTAGTCTTTCTATTCTCTCCCAGGAACTGGGAGAATACATTTCTGGGTTTTATTTTGTTTTCAGACAGGATCTTGCTATGTCTACTATGTAGCTATGTAGCCCAGGCTGGGTCCTGCCTCAGCCTCCTGCGTGCTCGGATTAGAGTCATGCACCGCTGCGACCTTCTGTGGCCCTAACGATGGCCTGCAAAGCCCTACACACTGTGGGCGCCACCTGTGCTCCCCCTGCCCCGGGACCGTCGGTGTCGGCCTGCAGCGCCCGCTGCGGGCTCACGCTCCCCTGCGGGATCCGGGGGGCTCTCTCCTTCCTCACGGTCTCCTCTGGGACGCTCATCGTCCCAGCATTCTTCTGCCACTCTCGGTGACCTCACCGTGCTTGGCTTTTCTGCCTAGCAATGACCACAAATTTCCATCAGTCTATTGTGCAACTTCCTCCTCTGTAATCTGCCCTCTGGGAGAGCAGAAAGGAGCTGTTCCTGTGATTGCTCATCCCGGTGCCCCGGAAATTGCATCGCCTCGGAAAACAGAGTATGCGCCAGAATGCTCAGCAAGCTGACTGATCCCACTGACCTCGCGCTCTGAGGTTTGGGAAAGAGGCCAGCTGTGTCAGCCGGCGCCTTACGTCTGGACTTCGGGGTGTGCCAGGCTGATGGGCACCACTACGAAGTGGCTCTGGGCAGGGTTTATGTTAACCAACTGGCTTTTCATGTTTACTTGTGCGTCTGTGCCAGGCCTCGGCCCCTGTCTGGAGGTGGGCGGCCTGTAATGGCAGGTGAAGCCTTGGCACCTCAAAGGACAAGACAAGACCACCGCTCAGGACACCCGGCTCCAACCTCAGTTAACTAGATAAAGACTAGCTGCAGGCATCTCACTCCTGCGTGAAGGCCTTCCTGGAGAAAACACAGTTCTCCTAAAGTAACATAATGTGTTACCTAGAGAGGTCCTCCCAGGCCCTGCCATTCAAGACAGATTCCCGTCTTTCTTCAGTATTCCCCACCCTTACTTTGACAACCAAATAAATACAGGCCACCCAGAAAAGTTAGGGGGTCTCAGCCCTGAGAATCTCAAATTCTCTTAGAGGGCTGGAAGCTCTCAGAGCTCTCAAATCAAACCACTTGACTCTTTTATTTAAGCCTTTGCCGTCCACTCATTTGGGAGATTGCTGGTCCAATCAGTCTGCAGTAACTAGTAATAATATTAACCCCATAGAAGGTGACAGACACCTTGAGGAACTTCTGACAGACTAATTCATAAGACTTTCAGAAACAGAATGTTCTGACAGGCTCTGTGAAAGGACAACGACCACCTGAAAAGATTTTAGACCGGAAGACGGAGCTGATCACTGCTCTCCAGACTGCAAGAGCACAGGCTGGTCACTGAGCTAAGGCAGCACAGAACATCCCCAGCACACCTCTCTTTGCTTGTTCTTACCGATAAATCTACACGTGCAACCCTGGGCTGGCGCTAACTTTTACAGACCACACTGGCCTCCATACCTGCCCAAACAAGATGAATTGATTGCAATATTTTATAAATTTTTAAAGTATGACCATGTAGACTTTATTAACTCTCATTTGAAAGTTGTAGAGAATGCAGACACTACTTTTCTTTCTCTAATAATTAGAAATGTTTATAGAGATAGCATGGTATTTAAATCTTTGGGATGTGTGAAATTGTATTCCACAGCATTTGTAGACAAGGCATTAAGAATACTTGAAAGTGTTTGTCTACAGCGTTAACTGTAATTATACTCCACTGGACTCACAATGTTTTGAAATGCATTATAAATTGGCCTCAAGATCTTTTTATTAATTATAATTCAAATGCTGAGGTTTCTGACTCTGGGTAGCAGCAGCTTTGCCTAAGAGCACCCTCTTCTGTTTCAAAAGTGTACTGCAAATACATTACCTGGGCTTGACAGTAATTCTGGTTAGGACAAAGGGACCTCTCAGGAAAATGTCAGTGCAGGAAATCGTATTATTAACATAAGCTCCCCTTCCTTCAGGGGTTTGGAAGGCCGTGCTGGCGCAGATATACGTACATGAAAGGGACGTAGCAGACCTCAGAGTAGGATGATTTGCATTTCTTCCCCAGGAATCCTCACGGGGTAATTACACTGATGTTTCCTTTTCCTTACACGATTTTTTTTTTTGAGAAAGGGTCCCTCTATGTAGTTCAGACTATCTTTGAACTGACTACATAGCCCAGACTGGCCTCAAACTCCCAGTGATCCTCCTGCCTCAACCTCCCAAGTGCTTGGATTACAGGAGTACGCCACCCCATCCAGCCTCCTTACACGATTTTAAAGACACAGCTCTTGTCTATGGTACTTTCTGGAATTCAACTATTTGCTTGCTGACCAGCTTCTGTCTCGTTTTGAATTTTAATTATGCTCAAATTTATATTTTGATGCCACTTTGAAGTAGGAACTAATATACCTAAAGCAAGAAAAAGGCTCATTTCATATAACCCAGGGAAATCTGCAGCTAATGAGGTTGAGTCCCATGAAACTAAAATCAGGAATGGTAAATAGTGGCACCTGCCAATACTTCACCACTACACGCAGCCCTATGCTTTAGGACCCTGGTAAGGATACAGCAGGCCCTTGCAGTGGAGTAGCTGTGGGAATAGATAGGGCCTAGAAGAGGTGACAAAGAAGTCACCACGGTGTCTACACGAAGGGGTTGGGCAGTGCAGGTGGAGTTACATCGCAACTGTAGGTACAGGCGCATTCTTTGAAGGTCAGACCTCATGACACAGATGCAATGATACACCTACACACTTTCTCTAAGGATAAACAGTAATGATGGATATTCTAAATAGCCATCAGTCAGCTGGGTGGGAGACCAGAACCTCAACCCATCCCTTCCAGGGAAGGTCCTTGTTCTTTCCACACACACTTGCTTCGGGACTTGCTTCACCCATTGGATCAACATTACCTGAGCAACTGTATTTGTAATCTTATTGGTTGATCACAGCTTTGTCCCACCTTACACCCGTCCTGATTTGGCACCGTTCTTGTGATTTTGCGCTATCAGTCTTCCCTTGAGAAATGCGCTCATGGGAAACCCACTTTCCAGCCCCCTTCTGTCTCTCTTAGGCAGAAGCTATCTTTCCTTCAATTAATATTTCCTACTCTTAACCTCCATTGTTCCACAGAATTCATTCTTTGATTTTGGGGAACACGAAGTCAGTATATCAGACATCTAGCAGGTGGGAGTTATAATACTTGTGTTATATTATTTGGATAATTTGGGGGTCCTGTATCATCCCTGTATCACTTCTGTTGTTTCTAAAGATCCAGAGCCCTATTGCAATGTTACGGTTTGTGTCTAGACGTCCCCCGAAAGCCTCCCGTGGTCACAGGGTTTTTTCAGCAGTGGCTGAATCTAGAGTGTGTGACTGATTCGAAGTGTAACACTGGAACTAAGGGTGCTGGGGTTAAGGGTAGGTGATTGCTGGATCAGTTCACTGATTGGATCGGCACTGCCCTAACCCCAGTAGACTGGACAATATAGGGACAGAAAGAGGGTGGTCTCTCTCTCGCTCTGTTGTTGCTTTTGCTGTCTTCCACCACCATGAATGGTTGCTCCTCTGCCATGTGCCACCCTGCCTTGGAGCCAGCCGAGTATGGACTGAAACCTCCACGAACTATGAACTAAATAGACCTTTCCTCCCTTAACTTTGGGCAAGGGGTATTTTGTCTCAGTGAGAAAAGTAACTAATACAGTGGGTATAGCCAGCAGCCACTAAACTACTTCTCAGTCACCAGACCTCTATGACGGGCTGACACAGTTTTGGAATATTAACTTTAATAGCTAAACAGAAGTTTAATTTCAACAAATGTTTGTTTCTTATACAACCGAGGGTGGAGAAGTGGGCTGTGCAGGTTGGTTTTATCAGCACTGATTTACCTCCGCACCTACCCAGCCCGCCCGCCCACGCCCGTCCCTCCTCTCCCATCTTGTCTGAAACAGCCTCCACAGTTGTGCAAAATACTTTTCTAGACTTGAAAAGCTCTGTTTTTAAATGCACATTATTTCTGTGGGACCACTACTCAAGTTGTCAAGGTCGTACAGTTTCATCATGTGGACAAAAAGTGCCCTAAGTCACAGGAAACCCAGGGAAAGACTAAAGTTCAAGTCCGGCTGGCACGACATCTCTCATCATCTTCAAATTATTTTACAAACCTGTAAGTTACAGAAAACTGATATCTGTGCCTATGGTTCTTGTCTATAAAAATGCAAATTGCCCTGGATAGGAGGAATTATTGATTACTACCTTGCAAATGATTGCACCCGTCTTTGTATTGCCTTCATTTCAAAATTCCTTACTTCCTGTAGAAGCCGCTGCTCTGTAAAGTTCTCCCTAGGGCCGGTTCTGCACATCTTACTAGTTCTCTCATTTGCTTTTTGCTTTTTTGGTTTTTTGTTTTTGTTTTTCTTCCGGGACCAGGAATCGAACTCACGACCTTGTGCTTGCCAGGCAGGCGCTGTGCTGCTGAGCTAAATCCCCAGCCCCTCCCTCCTTTGTTAATGAGTTAAATATAGTCTCAGGCACATAGTCATTTTGTACCTTTCCATCAGGATTACAGGCTCTTTAAAGAATCGTCCTTTATAACATCATCAACCAGACTTGGATCATGCTATTTTTCTAGGATATGCCAGGATGCCATGTTCAATGACTCCTTAATAGTGAAATTGTGTACATACGCCTGACAGAGAGTCAATTGGTGAAGGCTATTGAAATTGATTTCACACCTTTAAAAAATAGCCCCAGGCCTTGCAAAAGATGTAAGCCCATAGCACAGCAAGAATTATTTGAAATACGTCTTTAATTTTAGAAAAATCAATATACAATCTACAATACTTTGTTACATGATTAGTAAGACTCAATCTGTTTTATACTCATATTGATAGGACATAAAATCATATTTTGAGTAAAACATTATAATAGTCATAGTACGGTAGGCCTTCTAACTGAATTTATAAGAAAAAGCACAGCTCCAGAATGAAGGGAACTAAAATCCTCAAACTGTCTAATAAATACACAAAGTCAAAAGTTCCAGGCTTTGTTTGGTGGAAAATACCCTTTTTTCATACCTTTCTTAGTGGGTAAACTATTATGATTCCCATACAACAAAGAATGTTCCTATGTTCAGACCTACACAGTGGATTATGTAATGATGGAGCCCTGAATACACTCACACAACTAACAGGACTGTAGCACGGTGACCGGACCGGAAGATTAGCGCGGAGTGACTTGTCACAAACCATCACCGCCTTGGAAGTCTGCCATAGCGTCAATCAAACAACTGACTCCCAAATGGTCCAATTCACAAACTGGCCTATGTTAAAATGCTAGAAAAAGAGTGGTTTTGCTCCCTCCCTCTTCCTTTAAAAGCAGGGGTTTTCTGAAGATCACTATTTACTCTGCCAAAGGAGTTTCTACTTCTTAATTTGCAAGTTTAAATGGACCCTACCTGACTTTTCACTTAGAGAGCTCCAGTCACGCTTGACCTCCTGCCATACCTAAGGTCAGGAAAACTGTATTAAAAGCTTCTCGACCCCACACAGAATGCTAATTTAACACTAAGTAATGAATATTTAAAGTCCTAATAGATGTGCAAATTGACAATTACGCTGCAGCACCCTGCTATTAACGCTATCAACCTTTGGTTGTGGCTGAAACTCAATTTGGGCTTTTATCAGTCCTTTGTTACTGTATTTCCAGCCCTGAATTTTGAGATGTCCCTGCAAGCTGGGGAGCTCGGGACTCAGGCCAGAAGTGAGGTAACGCAGACAATAGCCCGTGAACCACAAGGGGGGATTAACTGGACACTCTGCTGAACTTATTTGGAAGTGTAAATATTTATTAAGTGAGTTCTTCATGGGTACGATGCTGGGGAGCACACTGAGAAAGGAAAGGCAGAGATCATCTCGCTAACTTTCCTGGGGCTGGAGTAGAGCGTCATACCTGGCCCGTCTCTATCTTCCTGAGCAGACAGAAGCCACAGCACGGTGCGCCCTCGCTAGATGATAAGGAAAGATGGCAGGCTTTTAAAAAGACACACACACACACACACACACACACACACACACACACACACACGATTTGCCTTCCTATATATCAACAGCGAGTCTTCAGCATGTATTATGAACAATGCCTCAAGTGACGTTAAAAAGAGCAATATCAATTCATTTTGACCATGACTGGCAATACGTGCCTTCGTAGTAAGAAAAATAAAAAGCAGTAAAATCTGTCGATTGATATAGATCGCCATAAGTGTTTGTTTTAATCTGTTTCTTGAACAGATTAAAATGAATGTAATACAGTATTAAAACACAGGAAACAAGCTCTGTAGGCCAACAAATAAATGTTATTTGGAAGATCATTATATCAGTTTTGACTCAAAACAAATCTAGTAAATAGAGAAAAATGCCTCCCAATCACATTTAAAACTCAACATAAGCTGAAGGGGTGTTAATACCCCCTGGAAGAATTTGCTTTTCCAACTGAAAAATACCTTGAATACAGATTTCATACATTTTAAAATTCTGAACTGTCACTGTAAATATTAAAAGGAAATTATAAGCAGAATTATTACTGCTAATGCTGGTGGTTTTTCACTAGAAACTAAACTACTACAGTCATTTCCTGCTTTGAGGAAATGTTTCCTCTTAGAAATCTAGGTAAAATAATCTAGTGTCTTCTACTTTAGCATCTTTGAAAGAAAAATACTCAAAATTAAGCAGGATTAGCATAAAATGGCATGACAGCAGCACCAGCACAAAACAATCATAATATGATGTAACTTCTACTCAAAGAGAGGCTTGTGATAATTACAAATACTTTACCAAAATATATTCTTAGTGTGTACTTCTAGTAAACAATATTTATGAGCTTTAAAAATTCATCTTTAACATACATAAATATTTTAACTGGTGCCCAACACTCTTATTCCATTTTGAAAGGATTCTCACCAGCCAAAAGGCAGTGTGTCTTAGTGACCTATGCCAAAATATGTGCATAGCTCCTTTGCCGCACACTTCAAAAATGATTATCCAGTAGGGGAAAGACAGGGGCCAAATACAGCCGAAGGCTATTTACCAATGTGGCCGGGGAACAGGAATAGGAATCATCCCAAACCACAGATACTTCCAAATCCGCATTTTAGTCTGTGGTCCGTTTCAGTATCACTCTCTACCTTACCATGTTTCAGGAAGGAGGAAGAGGGGATATTATTACTTTAGTTTAGGTCCCCTCGGTGCTCTGCCCTCTGGCGCAGCAAGAAGAGGTGGGGATGGAGGGATGTGGTGCTCAGGCAATGCACACAATCAGCCACGGAGTAATCAAAATTCCAAAACTCCTCAGCCATGCTGGCTACCAGGTCACACACACATCAGATAACAGTGCCGTGAGCTTCAACAGAAAGCAACACATCACACCAATTACAGGTTCATTTTACATCCAACCCACAGGGCAAAAACATGGAGAGTATAAAAGATAGACGGTTTGGTTCGAGGTCTAAACTTTTCTAAACACAGCCTTTGGACCCGTCCTCGGCCCACACTTGGAAGTCAGCGCCGCCGTTTCAGCCCATCGCCCAAGCCGGGACTTCCTGCGCCTTCTGCCATTACGTGTGCGGTGCGCGGCTACCACATCCCCGCTTGCTGCCCCTACTGCGCCACGCAGCCGCCCGCTCTGTCGGCGTCTTCTCCGTCGATTTTAATCCATTTCTTTTCTATTTCAACCTGTTACGCAGAAGCAAAACACAGGCAGCATTAGCAGATGCAGTGCAGACCAAGCACCACGCCAGCCCTCGCCACACAACCAGGATCCACGGCCACCCCAGCCCCGGGGCTGGCAGAGCAGTCCCGCTCCGGGACAAGGTGCCCCTGTCCTTCTGCCCGCACCCACATCTAAAACTTGCCAAGTCAAACAGTTTTTGTCATCATTTTTACTATGAAATGCTTCTAAAATACGAATTCATTTTAATTTCCTATATGGACTGTACATTTTTTGATAGAAGATGTGCAGCTCTGGCTAGGCATGTGACTAGTTACCCCTCCCCCATCATATATCCAGCCCCGGGCCCACCTGAGATGTATAACACACCCCAAATTATCTAACTAAAACAAACCAGTCTGCAAACGAGCAACCCAGTTACTCCGCCAGTTATCATTTTTATCTCAGTTCAGATGACACTTCACCGAGACCCTCCTGGATGACCCTGGACAAGGAGGCCCCCTGTTGCTCTCTATCCTGTTGTTCTAGTTTATTCCCTCTCTAGAATTTGTCAGTAGTTGAAACTGTATGCTCTATTCACCTACAAGCTGTTGGTTTGCTTCCTGAGCTAGAAGCTCAGTAAGGACCGGGGCCTCGTCTCCTCTCGCCACCTGGGCATCTGCAGCCACCGATGCCGCGACACTGCTCAGCAGACACCTGGTACTTGGAAGGCGGCATTCTGAAACTGCCACCAGGCGCCAGTCACTAGCAAAAGCTATTAAAGCTAAAGCTGTTCCTTGTGTAATTTGGAGCCTCATACTAAAACCATCCAAACCTGGCACAGCCTATGATGAGAAACCGGGTATAAAGGAGGCCCCTCTGCCCTGAGGCACACGTCAGTCCTGCATCACACGCACGGTCCCAGTGCTGCAGGTCAGGGCCCCAGCAAGCAGCTCTGGGATGAAGACTCCTGGGCAGATAATTCATGGGGACACTGCCTGTCCACACCCGGGGGATGAAGGCCCGGGGGAAGCAGAACGGGCAAGGAGACGCGGGCTGCAGTGCAGCATCTTAAAGGTGGCTGCAGATGCCCCGAGAGGGGACCCCACTGAGGTCCTCCCGAGAGAGCCCCGGCCCATCACCGGACTCGGGCTGACCCAACAAGGGACGTGACCTTGCACAAAGCAGCTCCTTCAGCCAGCGCAGTGCCCGCTACAGAGGGAGCGAGTCCTGTGCCGAAGGACGCACAGGGCGGCGTCTCCCATCACCTCTCTCACCAGTAGGGAAAACATCACGGGATTCTAACACACAGACTTCTAGACAGATGGCCCCGAACACCCCTGACTCACACTGCATGTCCCAGGGCCACCAGTGGGTGCCTTTTCAAAAGAGAGAAATGAATAGGAAATCAGAACAATAGCACTGCTCAGGGCTGAGACTCCGACAGCTAGATTGTGAAATGCTGTCAAAAAGTATAAATGTTGTTCATGCGCAAGACAAGAAGAAAACATACAGCCAGGCAGGGTGGGGCACACCTGTAATCCCGGCTACTCAGGAGGCTGAGGCAGGAGGATCACGACATAAACTTTGAACTTCACCACCTGTTTGTTATATACTCTTCAATCTGTATGACTTGTACATTAAACCTTCTGATTTTAAAAACATTTAAACAAAACCAGCAGTGTATGTCACCATCTCAAGATCCAGGAACCACATAGCAAAATTTTCCATATGTCTACTAGCGATGATGACAAGGGAGAAAAGCAAGCTGAGAAACAGTGTGTGGGACCCTGACTCATCAGCCCAAGCTGCAGAAGAACCGATCTCAAACACTGAAACTCTTGTCATAGAGCGACTCCGCGTTTCCCAAAATGTGCTCCACAGAACACGGCTCCACAGACACTGATGTGCATTTGACACACACAGCCTACCGGACAGGACTCCACAGGCAATGAGCTGGGGGAAACTGTGTGACGTTTAACGGAAGTTTCCTTATAGCTGGGCCCCACAGTCTTCATTTAACATTAACTTACTTGGTGAGGAGGTAATATGCTATTTTTGACAACCTTTAGGCTGTAACTACTTAATAGGTCCCTCTTGCATATCTCTGTCTTCCTGAGAAACCACTTTGAAGATACCACCATGTATTACAGCAGCCATTGATATTTTCCTACTAATCTATCCATAACTGTGTAAAGTTTGTAATGTTCCTATCCTATTTCATAAATGGATGTATGTTTATTATTATGTGTTTCCTACAACAACCATTGAGAATAGTTAATGATTTTTCAATAGGTCACTCATGTATAGCTCTATTTATTTTCTTTAGAAGCCACTTTGAAGATACCAAAGTATAGCACAACAACTCTTGATAATCTCCTACCTCTTTTGTCTCTAACTCACTATTATTTGTCTATTTGTTTTCCTGAGAAACTATTTTGTAGATAATAATATGTAAAACGATAACCATTGATAATTTCCTACCATTTTGTCTGTAATTTGCTAAGTCCCCCCTATTATTGTTATCCTTCTTTTATTCTTTAAAATAAAAAAAATTAAAAAATAAAAAAAATAAAAATTAAAAAAAAAAACATTAACTTACTGTATATGTCCCAACTTATTTTTTCATTGCATCATTATATAAGACACAACACATTTTGGGAAATTCTACTCTCTCTCTCTCTCAGACAGGGCCTTGAACTCACTGAGATCCTCCTGCCTCAGCCTCCCAAGTGCTGGGATTATAGGCATGGGCTACCAGGCTTGGCAAGGGGAATTCTATTCTAGCATGACAATTTTCATTATCAATATGCTTCTAAGATACAAATTCACTTTTAATGTCCCATTTTCCATTGAAAGCTGTATTACAAATATTCCTCAAAACAGACCATCAAGTTTCCACAGCTGAGCTCTCCTCTAGGTCGAATATCAATACAGACACAGTCAGTCAAGAAGGCAAAGCAAACATTTAAAGGCAAATCAGAGCCCAGCTCTGGGAGCACAGCTTGAACTGAGGGGCTGGGGGCTGTACCTGCAGGTTGTAGCAAGCTCGCTGCTGGATGCTTTTCTGTGGCTGCACATCGCTTTCCACCCCCAGAGACCTGACCTCCGCCCGCGAGGCAAAGGTGTCTGCCATGGAAAACTGAACGGTCGCGAATGGATACCAATCCAAGGGGATCTCTTGGTCAGATCCAAGTTCTAGTTTGTACGACAAACAGTGGGGATGATCAGGACCTGGAGGAAACAAAATCGAACTATTTCAGTGGTCACTGGACATGCCTGTTGAACATAAAAGGCACTTGCAATTCTATATTAAAAACATGCTATCAAAACCCACAATCATGCACACAGTCGGGAGAGTTCCAAATGCATGTAAGTAGTAGCTCTAAAAGAACTGTAACTTTATCACAACAGACCTGCACACATTAACTCTTAAAACTTTTCAATTACAAGTATTACTGTGTGCTCTAATTAAAAGACTAATATTTATATGAAACATAATTATTTGCTCACAGCGTGTTTCAGGTGTGGAAACCTCTTCCTCTTAAGTACACTGAAGTAATTCTTACAGTAGTTCTGCATTTATTTGTTTTCTTACCCCTGTGCTTGTGGATCATGCAAAGGTAAATTTCTGCTCAAAGTAGGTCATATTACTTAAGAAGCCTGATTTGAAAAGTGAAACTTCAGATATTAATTGCAGAAACTATTCCAAGTAAAGAATTCTTTTTTTTTTTTTTTCTTAAGTGAAACAGGTTGTTTTTCATTACTGAAATCCTCACTCATGCTCCTGAAAAGCTGTGACGGGAACAGAGGTAGAGCATAGGGGTGGGCATATTGACCTTCAACATTTCAATCTAGTATTTGTTCTCACTCAAGTGAGCATCTCCATCATGCCAGGCCAAGATCTGCGCCAAACTCAAGGGATGTGGCTCCTCTAGATTCCCCAAAGCCTCATGCAGACACAGGTGGAACTTCTCAGAGGTGGCTGGATGTAGGCTGTGCGGTGCTGGGATTAAGCCTGTGACGCTGGCATTAAAGGCGCATGATAACTGACTGGTTCAGCACAGTTCTGAGTGTGGATAATGGGAAGGCACCACTCAAAAAGGTAGCCTGGAAGGGATAAAAGGGAAAGGCAGGTTTCTGAGGCTGCTGCTGCTGCTGCTGCTGCTTCGCTATCTCCTGCCTGTTTACCATGAACTATTTCTCCTCTGCGATGCCCCTCTGCTCTGCCATCCTGCCTTGGAGCCGGCCAGCTATGTACTGAAACCTCTACAAGCTATAAGGTGAAATAAGCCTTTCCTCCTTTAACTTTGTCTCAGCAATGAGAAAAGTAGCAACCGAGACACCAGGGATATTGCTTCTATCAAAGATTTCAGGAGGGGGGCTGGGGATTTAGCTCAGCGGCACAGCGCCTATCTGTCAAGCGCAAGGTCATATGTTCAATTCCTGGTACCGGAAGAAAAACAAACAAACAAAAAAAAATACTTCAAAGATTTCAGGAGGGTCACTCAATGTGTGCATACGCACATGTATGTGTGTTTGTTATAATGCGGCAAAAAGTATTTTCACTGTAGTAATTTTGGCCACTGTAGTAACGAGACCATGACCCTGTCCCATTGTTCATAACATCTACATAGCCGATGTGTTATCTTTTCTTAAATAAATGTATGAGATGACTGTAATTTCAAAAGCCAAATTAAATTATTGTACCACTGACATAGCTTAAAAGAACATTTTCATCAAAGTATAGCTGTAGGCACAAGAACAAGAGTTTAAAGGATTTCACTTAATTCCTGAAAGACAAATTGCCTTTCATTCCTTACAACCTGTTTCTGGTAGAGACTAATAGAATTCCAAGCTGTAAAAGCCATCCATCAATTAGCCAGCAGATGCTCGTTAGTCATTTCTACCACGCGCACGTAGGGTCGGACTGCAGCGGCCTCAGAGGGCTCTGCACTACCCACACCGTCCGCAGCAAGTGATAACTTCACCCCACACACGCACCCAGAGAGCCCACCATCCATTATCCTTCCCCAACTTCTGGCTGTAGCAAGTTCGTTCCCACTTAACCCCACAGCTACTGACCCTGGGGCCTCGGCTTCGCTCCGCAAAGGACGGGGCGGACGAGAACCTGGCCCTCGCAAGGCCGTGGCGTGGATTAACCACAGAGCCGGGCAGGAGTGGCTCCCAGTGGCACGCGCTGCTCGTGTGTAATTACTCTGACAAGCGCCTCGCAGCTGGAAATCCATCTATCATTATCTAAGTACTATAATTTAGCTAATAAAGGAACAGTGAATTCTACACGTTTAGAGTGGAAAATGACATTGGAGATGATCTAATTTGATATTCACATTTTATAGGAAAAGGTTGGGGGGAGTTCTGCGACAAAAATTGAAGGAAAAATTGAGTCCAAGTTGAAGGCCTAATACTACCAAAGTGCTAGAATCAAAACCTTTCCACTTGTTTTTCTTGAAATCAGGTGAAAGGTAACACAACAGCATCCTTTTGCATTTTGAGATATTTTTCCCGGCTTCTGAAAACTCTAAATACTCTACTGGGTTTACTAACACACCACCTCTTTCAACTTTGAGTCCCATGAGAAGGCGAACCATGTGTGTCCTCCGCACAAGGCCAGCATGTTTGGAGCTTAACCTCCATTGTATTTGTCACATGCATGAATAAATGGATATGAGCAAAATATATACACATCAAACCTCCACTCACATTCACATTGAAAAAATGTGAAACTAGGGACGATGGGAGACAAAATAGCGGGGAAAGGATCAAAACATGTTCTTTGCCAAACCTCCCGAAATGAAACCCATTCATTTGTGTAATCATTTTGTTAAGGTGGAGGAAAATCCTGTCATATCAGCGCTGACCACGAGTGGGCACCCTCGAGCTTCGGTAATAGTTATCTTTCACTAGGCTGGGAACTGTTTATCCAAAATCTCCTCAGGCCTGGAAGCCCAGTCCCTGATGACCCGGGGTATTTCACATCTGAAACTGAACCACTGAAGTGGAAGGAAAAGGTGGTAAAAGGACAGCATAAATGGGGGAGGAGAATCTGATGTCACAGAGCAAAGAGAAAAGAGCAAAGGAGAACCGGGCAGTGAGAGAGACGAGTCTGCTGCTCCCATTCCCCTGTAATTCTGGGCCACCTTTTACACTTCCTTTGCTACCCAAGTCCTCGTTGTCCTCATTCTATTTCTCCTCCTATTCCCTCTCTCTTTTTGCCTTGGTGGAAGCTCCTGTCACCCTTACACTTGCGCTTGAATGATAAGCCACTGCCCTTCACACCTTAGTACAAAGTCTATGAGCTACTACTGCCCAGGCCAGACTGAGGTCCATGAAAAATGCACCCACTTGGCCATCAAAGAAACATTCAGCGTGGGTGAGGGAGCAGAGAGCCTATAAGGGGCCAGCAGCCCCTCTGACCTCTCCTGACATCCAAGGTCAAGCCTGAGCTCACAAATTCCCAGGGAAAAAGGTGCAACAAAAGCCTTACGCATAGTACGCTAGCTCATGTTTTTCTTTTGGTTTCTATGTACACAGTACTTTCCCCACAGTGCAAGTTTTTCAGACACTGACTTGAAGAGGGTAATATTTTAAAGACCCTTGTTAAAGGAAATCTTCTCCAAACATACAAGTGATCTGAAAGTCATCTAGAGAAACGAGCTGTACCCGGCCCCACTGCAGCACCCGCGGCCCCAGGACCGCAGCAGTGTGAGCCGGAAACAGTCACATCAGCGCTGACGGAGAGGCTACCTCTCACCAAGGCGATCCATCCAGTTTCAGCGAGGGCACCCTGTGGAAAGATTTCCCCTTGGTCCCAAGCTGCCTTCTGCTTCCCCACTGCCCTTTCCAGTTCTGGGCCATCCCAAGAGGCAAATTAGACTGCGACAAGCCCAAACCTCCCGCTCTGGGCATCACCCTCCCACCCCTGACAGACACCTGCGGTCAGTGCTGAGGGACCCCAGAAGTGCCCCCTCCATGCCCTGCCCCCCAGGTGCTCAGACCCAAATCAGCTTTGACCCCGAAGGGGTTGCCCAGTGCATTATCACCGCACAGCTGAGGAAGCCTTGTAAACCTCTGTTCCCTGGGCGCCTGGTGCCCTGGCAGTCTTCGGGAAGGGCCCCGGCAGCCAAGGCAGGGCCCAGGCAATCTCCTTGGGGAGGTCCACTCTTGCCATTATTCTCAGTGAGCCCAACTGCTGGAAGAGGCCAGAGGGCGGAGAGTAACAGAGCTCTGGAAGATAGCGGAGAGGGAGGCGTGGCCTCTGCGGGGGCCATACCAATGTCACAGGACAGTGACGAGGTTCACAGCCCTCGGCCCAGGCTGCCACAGAAGTCTTTCACAAGCTAAGCCTCACCCCAGAGAGTCCGCCCGGCTGGGGATGGGGCCCAAGTATGGGCACAGCTTGAGTGGCCCTTACTGAGGATGCTTGAAACAAGATTTCCAAATTATTTCTGGATTGTGATATTTGCATATACATAATGAGATATCCTGGTGAAGGGACCCAATTCTCAACACAAAGTCATGTTTCACCGCACCTTATGCCCACAGACTGAAGGTAGTTTTGTAAAATCCTCTAATAACTGTACATAAAACCAAGTTTTACTGTGTGGAACTGTCCATTTATGACATCAGGTCAATGCTCAAAAATTTTTGGACTCTGGAGGACTTCAGATTTCAGATTTTTGGACTCGGGATGCTCAGCCTGTATGTTTTTCAAGCTCTGATGATTCTAACATGCAACCAAGCTGGAAAACACACCTAATTCTAGGGATGGGAGGCAAGGAGATTCCAAGCTATCTTGGCGAAGGGCACCATTGGCCTCCTGCTCACCCAAGCCAGAAGACACCCTGACCTGTCCCAGCCCCTCCGGGTCCCCAGGCCTATACATAGTCTGTCGCTCTGCTGAGGGCACCTCCTCTGAATTTCCTCAGCTTTCCCCCATCTCCCCTCTCAGAGGGGCAGAATTCCCACTCTGGCTGCATTTAAGATCCTCTGGCAGCTGAGACCTCCTGGTACCCTGGGCCCTACCCTAGAGGCTCCAATTTAACTGGCACAGAGGATATCCTAAGCTATGGTCAGGTTTGAGAAACACTGCTATTCACTGCCGCTACCCACAATAAAAATATTTCATCTGAAGTCCATGGCTATGAGAGGCCTAAGATGAGCTTAAATTCCTCTGAAAACTAGAGGGACTGCGAGCTACTAGGATACAGTGATCAGTTCTTATCCATCTGTATCCCTGACGCTTGTAAGTGCTCAGTGAAGGTATGAATGATGAATGAATGAACTCAGATTCCCCAAACCTGCTCCAAATTTACCTCTACAGTCCAGGCTTCCACTAGAAAAAAACCTCAACATAAAGAAGTACAGCTCTAATTTCAAAATTTGCTTTTTTGTTTTATTATATCTACTACTAATTTACTCTTCCAAAATAAATTTGATGCTAGAATTGTTTTCAAAGTTCTAAACTTCTAGACTATCTCCTTCGCAACATTTAAAAAATTAAGTGCATTTTTAATACTCAGGGTGTATCTACCTAATTCTAAAGGAAGCTGAAGTGGTCAAATGGGTAAATCAGCCAAAAATCAACTTGGGTAATAATGAAAGGCAGTCGTATTTCAAAGAGCAAGGAGTAAAACCTAAAGAACAAGTTATATTGGCTGAGAATACAAAGAAAAAAGTTTAGATATATTCATGGAGAACAGATGTTTACTGATGAAATAGGGAATCTAAACTTTACTGGACACATTTTTAATATCTGAGGTTGATGTCAAGAAGCCCAACCACGTATATCTACAAATTCTCCCTCAAGTGCCACCAGTCATGACTAATTCTTAGCCTAGGATGGTAATTCTTCTTATATAAAAAGATGTAAAATGTTAAACTTGTCTGGGAGAAACTGGCACGAGAGGAATCAAACCAGCTGTTTGACTAAATGTCCCCTATCCTACCTGTCTACACAAGCACGACCTCAGCTGACAAGCGGCCATCTGTCTCCGCCTGGTTTCAACCCCAGGAAGGGCGGGGGGACCTTTAAGCTATTTCCCAGGAAAATCAACATAGGTGCTCAGTATTTACTTGAATTTTTATCAGGAAGCCGCTCTATCTTCCACACCACAGCCCGGTAGGCACTCTCGTATTTTGCCGACCCCACAGTGACCTGAATGACAGGTTCAGATTCGGGTTCGTGTAAGTTCCCCAGGCACAATGGTCGGTTCATTTTGGCCTTCAGGGACTTCTGCCTCTGGAGATTCATGGTCCACAGGGCCTTGATCCACTGAGCTGGGACAGGGAAGTGTATCATGATATTGTCACAGCACCTCAAGGACCCGGTGTGGGATGGCTTCTGAAGCGACGGGGCCATGTTGACAAAGGCCTGAAGCTCCACATACGCCCCCTGGACGACGACTACAGACTTCACGGAAAACGGAAGATCGTCCCCGTGATACAAAGTCTTGAAACGCATCAGCTCAAACTGGCAGGCATCCGGAGGCACAAACTTAACGATTCTTGTTTGCTCAAATTCTCGTCCTTTCACACACTTATGCAAATGATAGTCAAGAATATCAATCCACTTCTTTTCTGGATCTTTTTCAAAACAGCATTCGTCTCGCTTCTGCAGCTGAAGGTCATTCAGGGTTAAAAAGCACTCCACGTTCCCATTCACAAAGCAGACGCAACAGATTTGAGTTATCACAGCACTTTCAACCAATTTCCCGTCTTCCTTTGTGACTTTACCCCAAAAGTTGTCCACAATTTCCAGAGAAATTTCTTGCTCCTCGTAGTTCCTCCTGGGTTTTGAAACAGCTGGCAGCTTTATCAGCTCTTCCTCCACAGTAGTCAGGAAGTCGAGAAAGTCTCGGTACTCCAGGGACCCCAGCTTCAGCATCTGCTCTACGTCTGGCTCGTGAACCACTTCCGTCTTAGAGTGGTATTTCCTCTTCTCTGTGTAAGACACATGTTCAATCTTCACAGTGTGGATTTTCCCTGCCACGCTGAAGCTCTCAACTTTGGGTTCAGAGAGCCTGCAATGTGGATCGAGCTGTAACTCCTTGAATGGTTTCTCTAACCCCTTCTCATAATACATCTGCAAGATTCCTCCAGGTAAAACTTTCAGAAAAATTGGTCCCCACTGCCGGGAAGACATCATGTTTTTCTTCTCAGGAATTCTCAGCATGAAGGCCCACCCAGCTTTGGGCTGACTCCTGAAGAGCGTGTGGGGGACAAAGGCGGGGTCTTCAGCACAGGGACAGTGCGCAGACCCCTCTCCAAGCGGGTCCCGGGTCTCAGCGGACTGGAGGTGCTCGAGCTTCTCACAGATGTAACTGAGTGAGCATTTATTTAGGCTTTTTTGATCAACTGGCATCCCCTTGTCTCTTGGTGAGAACATCTTTCTGCTCCCTGGGGGCTCAAAAGTGAACTGAGAAGCACCGCTCTCTTCTTTCCAAAATGGACTTGAAAACGCACAGTCCTCCCGGAAGTACTGAAACTGGGGAGCATCACTTTGGACCGCTGTGTTTTCAGCCTGCGGAGGGCAAAGTTCATCTGGAAGACCTACTTTGGGAGTAGGTCCTACTCCTGCGCAAGGGAGGTCACCGGGTAAGAAAGCCTGGGGTACACAGGTTGGTTTAGCAGGCAGTAAGGAGGAACCTGCCCCAGTTGCTGTGAGTGGGCCATGTGAAGAAGATTCTGGAATAGGACACAGCACATGAGGCCCTGCTTTGGGTGTGCCGGGAAAACCTGGGAAATCTCTGGTAGGTGTAGAAAGAGGAGAGTTGCTCGGCGGTCCTGGGCTGAAGTAGAAGTCGACAATGGGAGAAGACAGAGGGGTGCTGCTGGTCGAGGACGATCCACTGGGGAATTCTTTGAGGCCAGAGAGGTTCAGCTTCAGTCCATTCGGTCTACAGACACCTTGGTTCTCCAGAGGGAAACTCCTTGGCTTTGGAGACTGAAAGGCAGAGTCATCATCGAAAGTGACCCAGCTGCCCGGGTTCGTGGAGCACATCTTCGGGATGCGGGTGGTTTTGCCAAGGAGTCAGATACGTCGTCTCTGTTAAAAGAGAAAGAGAAAATAAGAACGCTAAGTAAAGCGGAAAAAACACATTATTACCCTAGCACAGTGGCACACGGCTGTAATCCCAGCGACTTGGGAGCGTAAAGTCAGAGAATCACAAATTCAAGACCAGCCTGGGCAATTTAGCAGGACCCTGTCGGTCTCAAAATAAAAAATGCAAAGGGCTGGCGATGTAGCTGAGTAGGAGGGCCCTGGGTTCAATCCCCAGTCCCACCAAAAAAAAAAAAAAAAAAACTATAGTTTCTTAGTTCTGAGAAACACTTGGATGTGAAAGCACACACATATTCTGAATGTGAAGAAATGCTTACACACAGGAACTCTTTTGGTGGCTGAACAAATTTTTTCAACAATAACCCAACTAGGTGCTGTCTACCAGGGACTCACTTCAGGCTGAGGGACACACAGACTGAAGTGAAGGGCTGGAAAGGACACTCCAGGCAAATAAAAGCCAAAACAGAACAGGGGGGTATGTGTTACAGTTTGGATCTGGAATATACCCAAAGGCGCTCCTGCCGAGGCCTAGTCCTCAGCTCCTGGCACCACTGAGGGGTGGGGAAGCCTTCAGGAGGTGGGGCCCAGAGGGAGGAAGTCAGACCCAGGGGGCGTGCCCTTGAAGGGGCTCTGGAGCCCCACCCTTCCCTCCCTCCTTCACTGAGGACAGAAACCTCTACACCGTGAGCCAGAAGAAGACTTTCCTCTCTTTAAATTGTTTGTTTTGTTTTTGTTTTTTCTTCTGGTACCAGGAATCGAACTCACAACCTTGCGCTTGCCAGGTAGGCGCTTTGCCACTGAGCTAAATCCCCAGCCCCTCCTCTCTTTAAATTGATTACCTCAGGTTTTTCTTTTTTATAGTAACAGAAAGCTGGCGTAGAGGGCATTCTTATATCCAAAAAATAAACATTAAGTCAAAAATTGTTACAAGACACAGAAAGGGGCATTTTATGATGATGAAAGGGCCAATTCACAAGGAAGATGGAATCATTATAAATACATATAAATGCACCATCACAGCACCAAAAATACGAAGCCAACCTTGATAGAAGTGAAGGATGAGATAGAGAATCATTCAGAGAGTTCAATATTCCACTTTTAACATCCAGATGGAAGACCAATCAGAAAACAAAGGACTGGAACAACACCACAGACTAAACGGACCCGTCAGACACAGAACATTCCACTCGTCTGCCACAAATGAATACACATGCTTCTCAAGCACACACACAATGCTTGCCAGAACACATACTGTTTATACAAAACAAGACTTAAATTTAAGAGCACTGCAATCAGACAAATATCTTTGCCAACCCAAATGGAATTAACCTCTAGAAATCAGAAGACTATCTTGAGACAAGTAATGATAAGAAACAGTATAACAAAACTTACAGTGAAAGCAGCACTAAAAGGGAAGTTTAGAGCATAAACTCTTCCACAGTAGGAACATTACATACAACGGACAGGATAACTTAGAAGAAATGGATACCTTCCCAGAAACATGCAATCTACCAATCCTGAATCACAGTATTTTCTTTGGTAGCCCATATACCAATACTGAATCACAAAGAAAGAGAAAATCTGAATAGACCAATAACTAGTAAGAAGATTGAATTAGTAAAAAACACAACAAAAGCTCAGGACCAGATGGCCTCACAGCTGAGTTCTACCAAACACTCAAAGAATAATTAATGCCTATCTTTCTTAAACTCTTAAAAAAAAAAAAAAGGAGAGAATACTTGTAAATTCATTTTATAAGGCCAGCAATACTCTGATACCCAAGCCAAGAAAAGAAAACTCCAGGCCAACATCCCTAGTGAACACAAAGGCAAAACTCCTCAGTAAAATACAGTATTTGAAAACCAAATCCAATAGCAAATGAAAATGATCCTATACCATAAGCAAGTGGGATTTATCCTTGAGATGCAAGGATGGTTCAATAAATAAAAATCAATCAATACATCACATTAACAGAACAAAGGACAAAATTCACATGATCATCTCTAATACAGAAGAACAGCATTTGACAGAAGTTAACATCTTTTCTTGACAAAAAGACTTAACAAACTTGGAATAGAAAACAATTACCTCAGTATAATTTCCATATATGAAAAGCCCGTAGCTAACATCATCCTCAACACCAAAGTCTGAAAGACTTATTCTAAGATCAGAAAAAAAGCATCAGAATTCAAAGCTGGGGAAATTAGGCAATAAAAAGAACTAAAAGGCATCCTAACAAAAGGGAGAATTAAAATTATTTCTACCCATGGTGACATGAGCTTATATGTAGAAAGCCTTCAAAAAAAAAAAAAAAGAAAGAAAAGAAAAAGAAAAAAATCTCTGTTGGAACCAAAGCGCAAATTAGGCAAAACTGCAATGAACATAAAAAAAAAAAATCCAGTTTTACTTACATATACCAACAGCAAATTATCCATAAAGGAAATTAAAATAATCTCATGCACAACCATATTAAAAAATACTTAAGAGTAAACATAACCAAGGAAGTGAAAGAGATGTCCACTGAAAACTATGAAATGTCACTTTAAAAAATTACAAGGCACAAATAAAAAGACATCCCTTACAGATTGGAAGACTTAAAATTGTTAAAAACATCCACACTATCCGAAGCAATCTATATATTCAATGCAATTCCTATCAAAATATCAATGGAATTTTTTTCAGATGTAGAAAAAAAATCATAAAATTCATATGGAAGCAAAGAGAACCTCCCTTTAAAGAGTCTTTTTCTCTAGAGGGGAAAAAAAAAGTTGAAGGACTCAACTAACTTATTTCAAAACATATCATAAAGCTCAGATAACCAAAACAGTATGACACTGGCACAAAGGCAGACACAGAGATCAAAGGACTAACTTATACAGCCCAGAAAGAAATCCATGGTCAAATATAGGGTCAAATGATCCCAGACAGGGGTGCAAAGATTACACAACACGGGTAGGTCGTCTCCTTCAACAGACAATATTCAGAAAACTGTAAATGCACCCACAAGAGTGAAACTGGACCCTGAAATCACAGTCAAAAATCAAGTCAAGAGGGACAGAAGACCTAAATGTAAGAGGTAAAGATGTAAAACTCCTAGTAACAAACATGGGAAATTTCTCACAGCAATGGCTTAGTAACGATTGCTTGGATGTGCCAAACAAGACTGCATCAAACCAAAGACTGTGCGCAGCAAAGGAAGCAATCAGAGTTGGAGAAAATATCTGCAAGCCATACGCTGAAGGGGGATGACATAAAATGGGTAAGGATTCATTTCAATAGCAAGAAGACAACTCAATTCAGAAATGGGCAACGGATTCAGACGTTTCTCCAAAGAAGGCATACAGGGGCCGACGTGTACACGGGAAGATGCTCCCCAGCACTCGCCGCTGGGGAAATGCCATCACAACCGTGAGACAGCACCTCACGTCGGCTAGAATGGCCAGGATGAGACTGGGTATGAGGGCTGAAGGACATTCCATCGTACGCACACCACCTTTTCCTTATGCTTTCATCCGTCAGTGGACGTTTAGGTTGTTTTCCCCTGACTGTTACGGATAGCAGTGCAGTGAACGTGGGTATGCGAGTGTCGGCCCCTGTATGCCTTCTTTGGAGAATCGTCTGAATCCCTTGCCCATTTCTAAACTGAGTTGTTTGTTTTCTTGCTATTGAAATGAATTCTTACATATTTCATATCATCTCCCTTCAGTGTATGGCTTGCAAACAAAGGAAAGCAGCAAATGTTGGCAAGGACGTGTAGGAGTTGGAGCCGCGTGCAATATCGAGAGTGTGACACGGCACGGCCACTGTGGAGACCGGTACGGAAGCGCCTCCAGAACAGAGAAGACAATTAACGCATGAGCGACACAGTAACCTCCCTTCTGGGTGTTTATCCAAAAGATCTGAAAATAGGAGCCAGGTGTGGTGGTGCACACTTGTGATCCCAGAACTCTTGGAGGCTGACGCAGGAAGATCAAAAGTTCAAGCGCAGCCTGGGCAAACTGGTAACTTAGTCAGACTCTGTTTCAAAATAAGTAAATAAATAAATGCTTGGGATGTCACTCAGTGTGAAGGCTCCTGGGTTCAATCCCTAGTACATTAAAAAAAAACAACACACACTGAAAACAGGGATCTTGAAAAGATTATTCACATACCCACATTCAGTGCACCACTATCCGTAACAGTCAGGGGAAAACAGCCTAAATGTCCACTGATGGATGAAAGCATAAGGAAAAGGTGTGTGTGCATGCGATGGAATGTTCTTCAGCCCTAACGAGAAAGGGAGTTCTGCCACGTGGTACAGCACAGATGAGCCTTGAGCACCTTACGCTAAGCAGAATAAGCCAGGCACAGAAAAGCAAGCGCTCTGACTCCACTTACACAGGCATCTAAAGCAGTCAAATTCATGAAAAAGAAATAAATGGTGGCTGTCAGGGGCCGCTAGGGGGAGCACGTGGGGAGTCACTGTTCAATGGGTGCTGAGTCCCCGCATGCAAATGAAAAAGCTCTAGAGATTTGCCATAGAGTAATACTGATACAGTTAATAATATTATATTGTACACTTAAACTGTCACACAGGTAGATCTCATGGGGTTTTAGCACAACTGGAGAAAAATGTAATATGTGGAATCAAATCACTAAGTCTTTAATTGAGTAAGTACTATTACTAGGTAGCCAGAACTTGCTAGTGCTGTGAAAAACAAAGGAGAAAAACTAGAAATCCATTTTCAAATGAACTTCTCATCCACTGGCAGCCCAAACTGATGTGAGGTTTATAGTTTAGAACTTTCTGAATTCACAATCTTGCTTATCAAAATGACCTTTAAAGTATGTATTATTGTTCCTGTTTCATAGCTAAGATTCCTTGGGTGTAGTTCCACTGACTAAATCACCCAGCTAGTAAGAGATAGAATCAGCTTTAAAAAAAAAAAACAGCTTTACTGAGTTACAATTCACCATAAAATCCACCCTTTAAAAAAAAAAATGTA